AAGGGACAAATGGGGCTCTACCCTTTCCTTCGCACACACATCACCGTCAACGCACCCCCAACCCCCCACTTGTTCTTTCCTTCTCCTTTTCTCTTTCACATTAGACACAAAACACGACGATCACCACCACCACCACCACCAACAACAACAACAACTGTCGATCTCTTCCTCTCGCAAGTAAGCACGTACACCGCACAAGCACACAGACTTACACACGTTCTTCGGGGTACGCGGCCGGGTTTCTTGTGTTGCAAAGCCTAGGTGAGTTAAGAGCCTGGGGAGCTAGCCGTCTTGGTAGAGCGGTAAGGGGGGGAGCGCCGAGCTGGCTACCCTCCCCCCCTGTGGTTTTTCGGAGGCTTGATCGCCCGGCGTCATGGCAGGGCCTTCCCGTTCGAGTACTTTTCGAGTTGGACCCGGTGCTGTGGAAGGGCGTGTGCTCGTGCGGTCTTATCCCCCCGACGGGTGCCATCTCCCCTGGACTAGCCCAGGGAGGGAGAGGCGGGGGTGGGTAGTAGACGCAGGAGGCTGTTTGGCGTCTTGTGGTGTGAGCTCTCTGCGCTCTTTTTAATTGAGGTTTTGGAGCTTGGTGACCTCCCCAGCCCGGGGTAACTCGTCGGGCTCCCGGTCGCCCAGGTCCTGGGTGCGAGCGTTCTGAGGTGTTTGGAACTTTCAGGCCGTAGGAAGAGGCCCCCGGTCGCGACTTCGTTTCTGTTAAGTGACCAGCGAGCATAGATCCCGTCTAGCTGGAGCGCCAACCCCCGGAGGGGAGCGCTGATGTGCGCCGGCTGTCGTTTCCGTGCGCAGCAGCTGCGACCGGCCCCACCAAACCGACCACCACCGCCACCGCCACAACCACCACAACAACCACAACAACAATTCAACAGAGGAACAAGGACGCCGCGGCCATAGCCCCGTTATGGACCCGACTCCAACACCGACCGGGAAGTTGACTATAATCTCTCTCCTCCGCGTCCTCCCACTGTCTGTATATTATCCATTTCCCTCATCGAAGACAACCCTAAGCCCAAATAGCTCGCCTGTGTTACCCATGGCATACATACATACATTATGTATACATACATTTATTTGAACGCGCCGGGGGATGAGGACCAAACGGAGGAGTGGAACACGGCGACAGCGGCGCTAGCAGCAACGGCAGGCGCGGCGGCAGCAGCGCCCGCAGCAACCCCCTTAGAGCGGGCCTGCGCCCGGGCAGTGGTGGACTTCTGGGCGCGTCTGCGCTCCTTCACGGCGCTGGGCACCCCGCGGAGAGGCTGGGACAGGGTGGGACCCGACCACCCGATCCTGTGGGTTTCAGAAGGCGCACTGCGGTGCACCGAAGCGGTGGAAATCATTGCCTAAGAGCGCTTTGAGCTTAGTATGTAGGGCAGGGCTCGGGGGGGTATAGGAGTTCAAGGGGGATGGGGGTTGGAGGGCAAGGGAATAAGTGAGAGGAAACCCCGAGACGGGAAAAGGAGAGGAGAAGTGCGGGGAATGGAGGCGGTCACGTAGTGCAGGGAAGAACCCTTTTTCTTCTCTAGTGCCGCTGCGAGGTTGTAGGGTGCTGGAGAGCTTGGGGGAGGTGGGGTCGCTCGGACAGGGGAGGGGGGAGATGGCGGTGAGAGCGCCAAAAGGACGTAGGTTTTCTGGTGTTTGGGAGGTTGAGGTCTGGTGGTGGTAGCGGGGCTCGGATGAGGGGGAGTTGTGGCCCGAGGAGGGCCATTCTATTTAGACACGTCTTCTCTGTGGGACTGGGTTGCTTGGTGAGGGACGAGGGTGAGAGCGGTGCAGTACGAGACAGGGTCAATAGGTTTCTGGAGGACCAACCGTTCAGGTTAGTGGCGGTAAGGGGGAGGCGCCGCGCGGGCTACAATCCTCCCCCTGCGGTTTTCTGGAGGGTCTAGGAGCTGTGTGTCGTGGCAACGCTAACGCTTTGGTGGTTTCGCCGGACTATCCCGGGCCCCTGCAGTGGTGATCAGGCTTGTGCGGGATCCCTTTTCTTTACAAGGCTACTTCTCCCCTGGACCAGCCCAGGAAGGGACAGGTGGTGGAGGTCAGTTGTTTTAAGGTGGTTGCAAGACGTCTTGTGGTGTCGAGCTCTCTTAGCCTTTCTCTCTTGGAGGTTTTTTGTTGGCCTGTTAGGTATATCAGGAGCCCTCCCCTGCCGGGACTGCCTTAACCGAATTTTTTTCCCTTCGAATCCCGTTTTCGTTGGTGGTATTTTGGGGGGTTGTTTCAGAGAGCCTTTGACTTTGCCCTAGCTGAGACTTGTGGGCTCGCTCTAGCGGGACCTGAGAGCCCGTCATGGTGTCTTCACTGCAGCGCCATCCCCGGATGGAGGGGCTGCGGAGTGGCTGCGTAGAGTGTTGGCAGTCTGAGTCGGGGTCGGGAGCACACAAGACTAACCGACTTGTGCTGTGTGCTCCCGACCCTTGCGCTGTGTTTCGGCTTCGGCCCCCGGCTCTCGCGGCCCACAGTGTAATCTAAGTCATACATACATACATACATACACACATACATACATACATACACACTGCCTCGGGAAAGGGGGCCGCTGGTGAAGCTATACCACCCTGTAACAACATACATACACACACGCATATATGCTGACGCCCAGCAAGCAAAGCTGTTGTTAACGCGCACTTGTGCCTTAAATAGCGGATAGCGACACAGGATAGACGGCAGTGAACCTTTACGAGGTAATAAACCCGCTCAAATGACCCGCTCAAATGAAAAACTGATTGAATTCCCTTGTCCATATGTGTATGTGTGTGTAGCAAGACATGAATTTGCATCCATCCAACAGTAGATAAGTTTATTCAGTATTGCATGCGGCGCAGTACGGCACCCCGCGGGCGTACGACACCCCGATCGGCCATTTCCGACAGTGACATATACCCAAACCCACTGTATGACAGCACATCATCCCGGAGAAGATTCTACTTGCACCGCCAGAGCTGCTGATTTTGGCCCACTACATAGCCGATGTACACCCCCATCACCACCACCGTCACCACCACCATTATCATCATCACCACCACCATCACCATCACCATCACCGCCACCATCACCAGGACAGGACAGGGCCACGCAAGGGCCAGTGGTCGCGAAGGCGGCGCCACACAACCCCAACACGCCTCCCCCCCTTCCCTCCCTCCCCCTCTCCCCCCTCCCTCCCCTTCCCTCCCTCCCTTCCGCCGTTCCCCCCGGCATCCCGGCAAGCCCCACACGCTCATACTTCAGTAGCAGCCAGAGAGCAGTTGGCAAAGGGCGGGGGGAGCACAAAGGGGAGGACACATACATACAGGCATATATATATATATATATATCAGATATTATAGCTCAGTTCAGGTACGATTTTACGATGGGTAACGCTTTTTTGAAAGGCGGTATGGTCTGGTTTCGGAGCTGTCCAGCCTGTCGGCCAGTCAAAACTTCTCCGTACAGTACAGTATAGTGTACGGCGGCAGCTGCATGGTAGCTACGCATCATGGTATTGCATGATTTGTGCATCAATCTCATGTTCCAACAAATGCCGCCACATATAGGCTCTCACACACCTACACGACATGCACGCCGTACGACATACGCGCGCCGCACATACACACACGCACGCGCTCTACCAACCAAATCCCGTGTTTATCAATTTCTTCTTGAGTGCGCTAATCAGTCGGCCCGGGTTCGAAATTCATTTAGGATATATGTTTTTTTTAACTCGAGCCGATCTGCCGCATTTGATTGTTGTAGAAACCATGACCAACACCGCCACAGGCACACCTCCATTACCACCATCAGCCGGCGTCTGTGTCCACCCCCCCTAAAGGTATGGCGGCACCTGGAGGGCCCCCCTCTTGGCAAATAAACCGTCCATGCTTTTCCTGAACCTAACTACTAACAAGATTAACCACAACTGCAAATAACCAACAAAACGACCAACGACAAAACCACCATGACGCTCTCTACAGTATGGAAATAAGTAAAAAACCCAAACAAGTTAGGATATGATCGTCATCATCATCATCGTCATCATCATCATCGTCATCATCATCATCATCATCATCATCATCGTCATCATCAGGGTCATGCCATCAAAGCTGCCATCGTCAACAACAACATAACAAAAATGTCGTACACTGCTGTGTATTTAGGGTTTGGGGGAGAACGTGCAACCTCCCTGTGTCCCTATCCCTGTCCCTGGCCACGGTACGACACGGTACGGCATTGAGATGGATTTGGGATGGTACGGCACTGGATCCAGGCCACAGTCAGTTACCCCCATGGCAAGGAGAGCGGGAGAGACGGCGGGGGGACCCCGGGGACGGATGAACATACACACCACCACCCGGAAACTAAGGCGCGTAATAATAACGTGATTAATCTCATGGATCTTAGAGCCCACCAAACTCTTAGAGCCCTTCCCTTCCCTTTCTGGCGGCGTAAGGCCGACGGCCATGATGCGGCAGAATGGCGGCGTGCGGACGAGCTGCGCGTTGCGGTCATTGTACGGCCGACACACACCCAGAGCGTGCACCATATATACATACATACATACATACATACATACATACATACATACATACATACATACATACATACATACATACATACATACACACATACATGCACAAATATACGTGCACATGTGCATACGCTCGTGCTATGCATGCAAGTGTACGGATGTGTCGTACAAGCCACCCAGGCGGCATATGCCTTTTGCCCAATAGCAACACAAGGATCAGGAGGAACAGCAGCAGCAGCAGCAGCAGGAGGAGGAGGAGGAGGAGGAGGAGGAGGGGGGGGAGGAGGAGGGGGAGGAGGAGGGGGAGGAGGAGGAGGAGGAGGAGGAGGGGGGGGAGGAGGAGGAGGAGGGCAGGCGTAGATGACGCCACCTCGCGCGGGTGTTCGGGGGCCACCGAGCACGGAGCCAAAGCCACACGCATCCGTTATAATATGTGTTATATATACACACTTACATACAAACAAACATACATACACGTCTGAGTCGGGGTCGGGAGCACACAAGACTAACCGAGTTGTGCTGTGTGCTCCCGACCCTTGCGCTGTGTTTCGGCTTCGGCCCCCGGCTCTCGCGGCCCACAGTGTAATCTAAGTCGTACATACATACGGACATACATACATACATTGCCGACCAGGAATGGAGTTGGGCCGCTGTCGACCCGGCAGATTCCGTTGGATGCTGGTGGTGGGTGCGGAACCTGAGCGAACCACTGAGAAGTTGACTAGGGTGACTGGATGGTGGTGCCCGGAAATACCGGGGAAGGCAGGGTTTCGCAGGGTAGCTGCCACGGGTGAAGATATACCCCCCTGTCCCACACATCATACATACATTTACGTGGAATACTGCCGACCCACGGGTCAGTGGATGTGCTGACCCACAGGTCAACGGGTCACAGCTCTCCTGTCCCATGGTCCAGTGGTTTAACTGATCCATGGTTCTAGTAACCGAAAGCGGTTCCACTGTCCCACGGGTCAGAATCCGCCTGTGGCAGAATGCGACTGTTATTGTGGCAGCTGCGTCGGCACGTTAAGGGGTTTGGACGAAACGGCGCGACGGACGCTATCCATTCTCACAGCGACGGACGCTATCCATTCTCACAGCGACGGACGCTATCCATTCTCACAGCGACGGACGCTATCCATTCTCACAGCGACGAGGTGTCATCCATTCTCATGCCGCTTGCGAACAACGGCAAGCGCCTGCGGGCCAGAGCAATACCGGGGAAGGTAGCGGACTTAGCGGACTGAACGACAGCAGCAGCAGCAGTAGCAGTAGCAGTAGCAGTAGCAGCAACAGAAGCCACGACAGCAACAGCACACCCGAGCACAACCTGCAGTGTACAGAACAACAGTAATGCTGTTAGGAGGGGGCTCGGGCAGGATGTCGTACACACCTGCTGGAGGTCCGCTAGGTCGCTCACTGCCACATACTCCCCACATGGGGCCCCCACCACCACGTGGCGGGCGCGTTTGGCTTGTGGCGCCGCGGCGGCGGCGGCGGCGGCGGCGGCAGCGCCGCCGCCCATGTCGTCGTACGACCTCACACCGCCGCCGTCGCCACCGCCGCTGGCATCGCTGCTGTTGGAAACGTCGCCGACGGGATGGCCGGCAGCAACGCCTCCAGAACGGCGGGTTACTGCGACGGCACCGCCGCCGCCGCCGCCGTTGGGCTGGCAGTCCTCCGCCGACAACTCCGGTATGGGGTCGCCGCTCTGTAGTCGCCGACTGCGATCGTCCATGGAAGCTCCGAAACCAGCCAGACTTGCCCCATATGACGGAAGGGAGGAGCTGATTCGCCGCAGCAGCTGCTGCTGCTGCTGAGAGTTGGCAGCCATCGCTGCCGTGTGGTCAACAGCAAGCGAGCCGTACTCACCTCCTCCGCCAGCACGAGGATGTACGTCACTGGCGTTGCTGGGATAATGGCCGTAGCTGCGCTGCAAGCTGGGCTTAAGCTCTCTGGCAGCCGACCGACTGCCGTACCCGGATGCCGTCGCGGCGGCTGATGCTGCAGCCGCCGCTGCTGCCGCCGGCTGTCGGGCGGCGGGGTGTTCGAAAGCGCCCTGGCTGTACATCAGACCTCGGCCGGCAGCAGCGGCGGCAGGGGCGAAGCTGCCGCCAGGCCCAGGCGAATGTGGTTGTGTGTGACGTCGCTGCTGTTGCGGCGGCGGTATACGTGGGCAGTCTCCGCCACCTCCAGGTCCCTGACGTGCGCCGCCGCCGCCGCCGCCGCCGCCGCTGGAGCCCGCCAGCACCGTTCCGGATCCCGCCGCCAGTAAATGTGAGGCTGCGGCCGCCGGGATTAATGTCCTGCCGCTGCTGCTGCGCACGCCGTCGCCGCCGCCGCCAGCCCCACGGCGACGATGAAGATCCCGCAGCACGAAGCTCAGGGCTGACCGCCCGTCGGACGACGACAACGACTCGTATAGCGGTGTGTACGCGTAGCCGCCGTCGGGCGCCGGAAGCAACGCCAACTCCCCCCCCAGAAGACTAAGGCCCATCGAGACCGCTGGCCCTTCTATGTCGTACTCTCCATCGCAAAAGTCCTGCTCCGGCTCCTCGTCCTGCCAGCGGCTGTTGCGCGCACTCGCCACACAGCCCCCAGATCCTTCCGGTGCGTTCCCACCGGCGGCGGCGGCGCCGCTGCCTCCCCCTGCGCCAACGTGCCGTGACAGCTGCAGCTGGCTGCCGTCGCCGCCGCGCTGCTGCGGCCGCGGCGGCGGCGGCGGCGGCAGCGCTGCGCGCTGCCGCGGAAGCGGCTGCTCCCCGATCTCATCGACACAGCCGCCGCGCTCCAGAACCAGCACCGCACCCAGCGCCGCCGCCGCCGGCAGCTCCCCTTCCGGCCGCGTTACCACCTCCTGCCGAGTTTGCTTCCTGCTGCCAATACTGTTGCTGCTACCGCCGCCACCGCCGCCACCGCCGCCACCGCCGCCAGCCTGCCTTTGTGCTGCTGCTGCTGCTGCAGCCAGCAGAGCCGCTCGCTGCTGTTGGCCGCCCTGCGCGTACAGGGCCCCATGGCGACGCGATTCATCCCCGCGATGCGACATCTGGTGCTGCTGCTGCTGCGGCGGCGGCTGTAGCGCCGGCTGCAGCCGCTGAAGAGGGGGTCCAAGCAGGGGTGACGGCTGACCGCGGCGTCGTGGCGCCTCCTCCGCTGCCGGCGGCGCTTCACCCACCCAATCACGTGACGTCTGGCCCGCCACCTCCCCCTCCACCGATATCCGCTCTTCCGTATCGTCCCGATCTGCTAATGCGCCAACTTGAGGCGCTGCGTGGTGGTCACTGTCGCCATCCGGTGCTTTCCCGGCGGCGATATGCTGCTGCTGCCGCGGCTGTAGCTGCCTGGCGGGCCGCTGCTGCTGCTGCTGCTGCAGCAGCGCCAACAGCGTCGTCAGCCCGTCCGTACTGTGTAAAAGTACGGCAAGGTGCTCTCGGCTCAGCTGCAATGACCGGGTGCGAGACAGCAAGTCGAGCAAGATCTGGCCCTCCGGGTCGTCCTGGGGTGTACGGCGAGAAAGGGTACGGCAGGCGAGGGGAATAACGTAATTGGCAGGAGCAATGGAGTTTGCAGGATTCGGTTTGTAAAGGAATTAGAAGATGAGGGAGTTTTCGAAGACGGGAGACCGGGGAGGACGAACCACGAACGAGTGAAGCTGCTGCCAAGGAAAGAGAGACGGGAGACGGGTGAGGAGCCGGACCCGGTCTTTCCTTTGTGGGTGCGGAGAGGGTGAGGGTGAGGGTGAGGGTAAGGGAGAGGGAGAGGGAGAGGGAGAGGGAGAGGGAGAGGGAGAGGGAGAGGGAGAGGGAGAGGGAGAGGGAGAGGGAGAGGGAGAGGGAGAGAACTTAACCACATTATTCTTTAATGTTATCGTTTTGGAATATTGTAAAAAAAAACATTTTTCGTCAAATTCCTCAGTCACCCCCTCCGGCCCAGCCCCGTGCCTTCACATCACGCAGGCCCCTAGCGGCATATGTACGGCACCTCGGGAATGACATCATCGTGGGGGAGCCGCGTCCCGCCTGACCCCGGAGTCTCCGGGCTGGACGCCGCAGCTGTAGCAGCAGCAGCAGCCATGGCCTTGTCCGGGGCCGCCCCGCCAGCAGCAATAGCCGCCGCCGCCCCCGCAGCAGCAGCAGCAGCAGAGTTGACGGCGGTCCCCTCAGAGCCCGGCTTGCCTGGGCGGGTGGCGGCGGGTCGCGCCGTGGAAGCGACGCCGGCGGAACCCGCCGACAGCATTTGCCGCCACGACAGATATTCTCCGCCGCCGTCTCCTCCTCCGCCGCCTAATGCCGCCGCCGTCGCTGCTGCTGATCCTGTTTACAGCGAGTAAATGCATTTTGACGAGGGTGAGGAAATCAGCGAAATAGGCAGAAAAGCTGGACCGCAACGCAAAAGATAAGATAGATTATAGATATATAAACAGATAGACAGACAGACAGACAAACAGGAGCCGCCGCCGCGGTTTGTATGTCCGCGGGTCCGGCCCAACTCACCTCTCTCCACTCCTCCCAGACCCAGCCGCGCCTGCTGCTGCTGCTTGCTTGACCGCTCCGCCGCCGTCGCTGCAGCTGGCCCAGCCCTGCCGTACCCGCCCGCCGCCGCCGCCGCGGCCGACGTCCAGGTACCCGATGATTTCCTGGGGAGCGGCTCGCCGCCGCCGCCTCCTCCGCTTCCATTAGCTACTGCGGAGGAGGAGGACCTTGCCGCCGCCGCCGCCGCCGTCGCCGCCGCCGTCGCCTGCGGTAGCCGTGGGCCCCCCGACAGGGACCCGTTTGCACTGCTCGGCAATGCAGGCCGCATCGACCATTGCGACGTCGTCGTTGCCGCCATCCGCTTATCCACCTGCGCCGCCAGCTGCAGCTGCAGCTGCTGCTGTTGTTGCATCTGTTGCATCTGTTGCATCATCTGCTGCTGGTGCGGCGCCAGTGTAACAGCACCTGGTTTCGGAGCGACTGTAGCAATCGCAGTGACACCGGCTTGGGTGCCACGGCGTTGTTGGTGGCCCTTGTCAGCTGGCTGCGCATCACGGGAAGCGGGAGCCTCAGGTCCTGGTGGTGCGGCCGGAGCCGGGCCGCCTTTGGCAGAGGCAGCAGCAGCAGCAGCAGCTGTACGGCCAGGATGCTCACCGGCAGTAGCACCTGGCGGCATTGAGGGGGCCCTGAAGCTCTGCTGCTGCTGCTGCTGGGGGGTCCCGCTAGCATGGATCTGTGGCCCCACGGTGACGTGCGCCGCTGCGGCCGCCCCCGCCACATGCGGGGGCTGCCGTTGAACCGCCTTCCGCTGCTGGTCCTGGTGCTGGTGGTGCTGGTGGTGCTGGTGCTGCTGCGCGCCTAGATCTAGTGCCGGCTGCACCGCCCCTCTCCTCGCCGCATCATCCTCCAACTGCAGGTGCTGCTGACGCTGGCAGTGCGCGCTGTCTTCTGATTGAGTCGTTCCAGACCGGGGCGCGCGTGTCGGAGGCTGCAGCTGTAGCTGTAGCTGCTGTTGGGCTGGCTGACGTAGCGGCGACGGCAGCGACGGCGGCGGCGGCGGCGGCGGCGCACCGGCCTCCAGCAGCAAGGCCGCCTCCCTCGAAATCCTCAACAGTAACAACTGCTCGGCAGCTTCCGCCACATCGGGCTCCACGGTATCCGCCCGACGCAGCGCGCCAGGATTGGTATTTGCGTCAACGGCAGCCGCCGCGCGGGAAGTAGCCGCCGCCGCCGCCGCCGCTGCCGCAGCAGCAGTAGCAGTAGCAGTAGCACTACCACCCCCCTCCTCCGCCGCCGCCGCAACCTCATTTGCAGCAGGAGCAGCTCCCTCCACGGCCACCTCTCCTCCAGCCACTGCCACCGCATTCTCTGAGGGAGCGGCCGGAGCAGCCGCAGCAGCACTGGCCGGCATGGGCTTGCCTGTTGGCAGTACTACGTTGCCGGTCGCTGCCGTTGCGGCGGCAATCAGCTTTATGGACACGAGCACGTTCTGACGCGCATCCGCCGCCGTGGTGAAGGTGCCCAAGTCGCGCAGCAGCGCTCCGTCCCATAGCGCTGCGCCCGCCTGCACAGAAGCACGAGCCAGTAGAACAGTAACGTAACGGTGGGATATAAGCGGTGGGATAAAAGCTCGACAGGGCCATGGAGTTGGACGGTGCTGCGGAAGGTGGAAATGGGGGGAAGACGAACCACAAACGAGTGAAGCTGCTGCCAGGGCAAGAGAGTAGCAAACTTGTGGAAAAGGGGGAAAGGGGAGAAAGGCGGACGGATCCGCGGCCCGTAATGGCCTGCCGTTTCCATTTTCAGCGGGGAGTTGATTGATGATGCGGCGCCAAAACAATACGGAGACTTGGTGGAGATGGTGGGTATTATTATATGCAAAAGCAGTGAAGATTCAACAGGCGCCACGGCCAAAGCGGCAACTGCCCGAGCCACAAGTCACAACTTGGGGGCTGCGGGGGGGGGGGGGAAAAGTGGAAATCGTCCATTCTGTTGGGGCAATCAAACGACGCGCTTGGCCAAGCCCGGTGTGCGGCCCAACTCGCCGCTATCCAGGCCCTGGCCGCCGGCCATAGAGCCGAACGTTCACACCAGCAGGATGGATGGAAAAGATTAATAGTTAGGTAGATAGTTAGTTAGGTAGGTAGGTAGGTAGGTAGGTAGGTAGATAGATAGATTGAGAGGACGCCAAAGCGCACATAGCGCGGCTGGCTGGCTGCCTGACGGGGGAGGAGGTGGAGGAGGTGGAGGAGGAGGAGATGGAGGAGACGGTGATCCCATGTGTGCTTCCAAAAACACTCACATAAGGGTTGCCCTTGCTCCTGTACAACACCCCGGAGTAGCCGTACAGCGGCGGTAGAATGCTGTCCAGCTCCGTGCCTGTGCTTGCTCACGCACGGAAGGAGGCGGTGGGGAAGGGGGAGCGTGTTTCAAAGGGAGCCGCAACAAGGGGAACAAAACGCTTCCGTTGACCAAAGCGTACAACCCAACAGAAGAGAGGATCACGGAGGGAAGGAGGGAAGGGAAAAGGCGAACCACGAGCGAGTGAAACTGCTGCCAAGGAAAGAGTGCTGCGGCAAATAAACCGGACGCGGAACGGGAAAGGGGGAGGGGGGAAACCAATGACACGCAAAATTGCGCTGCTCTTTTCAATGGGCTTACCACAAGGTAGCTGATCCGCGACGGCGGAGAAGAGCCGACGACCCAGACCCAACCGACGGGCAGACGGACCGGCACCCCGCCCCGCCCACAAGGATGCCGCCACGCTATCCATCACTGCCGTCGCGGCAACCCGCAACGACGGCGCCGCCGCTGCCGCCGCTGCAGCGGCAGGACTCCGGCCTTCGTCTCGGGCTACGGACCTCCCCGCCGTCGTCGCAGCCTCCACGGAAGGCCTCCACGGAAGGCCTCCGGCAGTAGCACCGACAGCGCTAGCACCATCGCCGTCGCCACCAAGAAGCTCCCCCATGCGTCGACCCGCCGCGGCGGCGGCAGCTGCGGCTGCGGCGGTGGCCGAGGAGGAGGAGAGATGAAGGGGGTGCGGTCCAGCGGGTGGGGCGCCACGGGCTGCTGCTGCCGCCGTTGCCGCCGCTGTGGCCAACGAAGCAGCTGGGGAGGCAGACGAGTCCGCTGCTGCTACCACTGCTGCAGCTTCTAACGCTGCCGGGGGCAAAGAGTGGTCGACGCCGTCCACCGCCGCCGCCCTAGAACGGCCGGCGGCAGGAGCAGGAGCAGGAGCAGGGGCAGGAGGAGAATCATTACCCTGAGCCGCTGGTTCCGGAGCCGTGCCGTCTCCGGCAGCCACAGAAGTGACCGCTGGCGAGGAACCTCCCGGTACCTGTGTCGGCGTGGCTGTAGCAGCAGCAGCTGTAGGTGTAGCAGCATTGGCAGCTGTAGCATCCGCCGACGCAAGGGGCCCCTCCTGCACCGGCGTGAGTGACCCCACACCCGCAGCCGGGACTCCCGCAGCTTGAGAAGCTAGCTCGGCCTGCATAAACAGCGGGTACATTGGTGGCCAACGTAAATTACAGTAAATTGCCGTGTGAGCACGTCTGGGCACGAAGGGAAGTCGGGAAGGGAAGTGGGGACACGGCGGAGAGCACCGGACGCCAGGCGGCCCACAGGCCGCCCAAAGCGAGGAGCGGGAATAGAGGAACCGGCGGTAAAAAGGAAAGTGCGTGTGAAGGAAGTGACCATCTGTGCCGTTTTCCACATAATATACCTCCTGTGCCTCATCTTGCCGCTCGTAAATTAACCCAAATCTTTACATCTCAACGCCCCTCTCCCTACCCGCCCCCCTCTTCCTCACACAAACACGCTCCCTCTTCCTCCCTTTTTTTCTCCTTCTTTACCTCCCCTTTTTTCTCCTTCTTTACCTCCCCTTTTTTTCTCCCTCTTTTCCTCCCACCTGTATTGCCCTGTAGTCCGTGGGCGGAATGGCGCCCACGACCAGAAGATGCGCCGCGGCTTGGAGGAGTAGAGCAGCCGGGATGTCAAAAACCCTGAGCTGCCGTACCGCAAGAAGAGGCAGCGGCTCCGTCGCGTCGCCGGGTTTGGGCCCCTCCCGCTGCTGGTGATGGAGCTGCTGCTGTAAGTGCGTCTGTGGCTGCATGGCTTGTGGGTGCCGCAGCTGCTGCTGGTTGATCTGGCTTTTTAGCCGCTGCTGTTGCGGCTGCGGCTGCAGGGGAGGGTGTGGTAGCTCTTGCTGCTCAGCGCAACTCTCAGTGGGTTGCAGCATGGTGGCCATCAGCGCTGCCCGTTGAATGTACGTTAGCAGCAGCTGGCAAATGGATGGCAGGATGGTGGGGGGAAGGAGCGGATTACCGGCCATCAAGTAAGGAGCCGACGCCGGAGCGGCGGGTGGCAGAGCGGTAGGTGTTGGAGTCGCCTGTGGGCCGGCTGGGGCCGCGTGCGCGGGCACTGGTCCGTCCGACACGCACATTAACTCTTTATCATTCCCAGTATGTCCAGTGTTGCTTTCGAGGTTATCCGTATTACATTCTGTAGACGTCCTTTTCATGTGGCTGGACTGCAGCAGCCGGTGATGCTCCTGCTCCTGCTCGTCCTCTCTCTGACGCTTTCTGTCGCCCTGGCGCCTGGGGCTGTCAGGCGCAAGCTGCGCAGCAGCTCCTGCTTCTGACTGCAGGTTATTTTGTGTGGCTGCGTGATTAACCATTTTACCCAGCGAAATAGAACCAGAACGCGATGATGCTCCCTTGCTCTCCGCTGACCTATCCGACCCGAGAGCACAGTTCCCTAACTTCAACCTAGAATCCTATTCAGACGCAACCTCTCCATGCTTTTGCGGGCTTCGCGTTGCGCGTCTATAACGCGCAATTGCGGTCCAGTACGCGGAACCCAAGCCTCACTGTAACTGCGTAGTGATTTCCTCATTCAAATGGAGTAAGCGATGTTCGCTTTCCTCTGTTGCCCGATCCGAGAAGCACAAAGTGCGTAAGTAAGCTGACTTGTTGTCAAGCAGTGGTCATCGCAGACAGCAAACGCCATGGGACCCTTGCGCAAAATCTATAGCAGGATGCACATATTGTACTCTTGGCAGGGAATTTTGAGACGAAATGCATGGTGCTGATATCAGGTGAAACTCTGAAATCGTACTGTAATCTTCAAAGAGGTAGCACTGTTTGATTCTTATCTAAGATAAGGGGAAGCAACTGGTTTGGGGAGGTATTAGCGAATCTGGCTTTGCAAGTTGCTACTACAATAATGCCGCCTCCCGTACAAGCTCCTGGACCTGTATTGGGCCTCTTACGGAGGCAAAATCTGTCGGACACTTCCCTGTTACGTACTGCTTGAATTTGCACAGATACACATTTTTATCCTATCAGGGTATAAAGTATACAGCTAATGTACGATGCCAAAACTTTTGCATGGCGTGCCGTTTGGTCTGACACTTTCACGGGCAGTTGCAGCCCTTGCCCGTTTTGAGTCGCACATATGTCATTTTGTTTCGTATTGTATTTTTATTATTTAGCAAGTTTCCCTTAATGGTACCTTTTATGGGTGTTGTTAATCGTAATGGTATTATGTCGTGGCTGGGATACGCCAGCCTGTTCATTTAGTGCATGGAAGAAAGCGTGTGCATGTAAGTGGCATGCGTAAAGCGTTTGGGGAAACGTATATAGCTTAATTCGTGCGACACTCTTTTTGTATTGACGTCTGACACATGACACATCGAATTCGATGTGTCAGGCAATCGGAAAGGCTACACTCCCTGATTACATTAATAGGCAGCAATTGCTGCCTACTCGCTCGTCCATATTACAGCTGGTTGCCGCTGTTATCGATAATTACATGATGACTATCTGTCAAAGCTGTTGCATGTTAACAAGTGCAGTTCCTGTGGCCGGGAGCTTTGCAACGATGCTCCTCGTACTTTTGCCCGTTTTAAACTACTAGCAGGAGCGGTGGCTTGAATGGTTCCAATATGCGCATCGTTGTACAGATCTAGATAAGCGCAGTGCCTCGGTCAGGTCGCGATCAGGTCGTTCATCGGAGCCAACCCGTCGTTGATGGAGATTCGGGACGCGCGGCCGCTTTGCGGTACGCGTCCAAATGTACATGCTATCTTGCCTTAGGCCTGGTCGCTTGAGGGTGTATTTCCAGTGCGGATTAAGGCCAGGTATTAGCGTTAATCCCGGCAGTGGAAATCCCACCGGGATTAAGCAGGATTCGCCGGGGGATTAAGGAATTCCTCAGGACACCGTGTTCTCTATTCAGAGGACTAGCAGGAGTTAGCAAGAGATTAGGAAAGAACATAAATTGAACTTGATGTCCATGTATTTACCTGGCAACTTGTGACAAAAACGTTATTACCTGGCCCCACCCAGGTAGTAATTTTCCGTATCTGGATTAGCGTTCATGGCGTTATATCTTACTTTAATTTCTAGGTAATTCCATATGGATGACCTCAAGTAAGCAATATCTGATTTGGTTTGCGCGAAAGGTGCTACTTCAATGTCAGGCCTCAACGGTGGCCACAACGGCGAGAAGAATGCGCTTCCTGCCCATATTTTATACTCATACGATGCCTAATGCCCAAAGCAATTCAGAACTGGTAATATTAGCTTCGAGATCGCATCAAAAAATATGCATCGCCCTTTGTACGGCCTTAATCCCCGCGCTAATCCCAGGCCTTCAGAATTGCCAGGGATAAGCCGGGGATTAGCCGGGAATAGCGGGACCTTAATCCCTGGCCTTAATCCGCACTGGAAATACACCCTGAGCCTTCTACCCAGTACGGCAATATTCGGGCTGGGAAGATGGTCGGGCCACTTGCGGCGCGGGTACAGCTCTGATAATTCAACCCAGCTGAGCTTCCTTACATCTATGAGACCACAGCCTGGTATTCATAACATAATGCTGCGAAGTATACGCCTTGTCGAGAACGTTGTATGCTATATAATAACGAACAGCCTTAGACAGTCTGGATATTATTTGGGAATCTTTAATTACCTGGCACCGAGCTGAACTGGCAAAGCATTGGAACATTGAAAATCCTAAGTGCATAGCCAGCCATCGCTTCACAACTTTGCACTTTATCGCAACATGTTTGTCTTTTGTCACTTCGTGTTTGATCTCGGGCAAAGTCCTGTGCTTCCTCAGGTCGAATATCATCATGCCGGATACAGTTCTACCGCCGCGCTCTTGCAAATCGGAAGACGATGTAAGCACATGAGACATAAAAAACACTACTCCACACCTATATTGATTAGGCCGTATCATATGCTGGCATGAAAAATTGTCGACAAGATCTACTTTCCGATGCAAAAGCGGCTGAACACTGTGTCCAGGACCTCCTCTGCCACCTCGTCGCCGCTCACTTCTCCCAGCGCGAGAAGAGCCGACCGCAGATCAATCGTCCAAAAGTCCAGCGGTAGATCAGCTGCGATGCTCTCCGTTAACCGCATCAGAGCCTGCAAGCACCGCCAAGATGCAAGCACCACACCAATCAATCGTCAATACCCAAAAGCCTCAGCAGGCCGCCTTCATCGCACGACCAAACAACAGCTGCCTACGCCAGCATCGTCGCCAGCGGAAGAGGGTGTGACCCACGCGCGCTTTCGGCTGTACTAACAAACGTACAGAGATACTTACAGACGCACTAAGCAACTCCCCACGCGCCAACAGCCATAGCAACAGCGCGCCTGCTGCTCTTAGCCAAGTCATAAGTTCTGGGCGACGATGATGGTGGTAAGGTAGAGGGGACAGGACATGCTGACAGAACGAAAAAATATACACACATACTCTGAGAAGAGGTACGTACACACGTAAACTCAAGAGGAGGGATCTCCTCTGTGCATCCCTTAGCCCCCATCCCCAAAGCATTTCCCCAAGGTTGGGTGGGCGGCGGGGCCGCAGCTGTTGGCCAGCAAAGAAGTCAACGACGAAACACTAAAACGCGAAACCGTCTGTCTACGTCTGTATGTATGTTGGGGGAGGGAGAGGGGGGATGAGCGGAAAGAGTGATCGCACGGGCAGCACCTCCCCACCGCAAACCCACCACAACGTGCCGCACCACATATAGCCCACCGGCCCCCCCCCCCCGACCTCACCTCGTGGCTCCGCACCAGCGCCTCCCCTTGACGCTCGTTGATGGACCAGGACACGCCCCCAGACGCCAACTGCGCACCAAGGCAAGGAGGAAGGCAAACAACTAACCAACCAACCAAACCAACCAACCTAACACAACTTGCAGTACACTATCCGTATCCGATGCCCCCATCGCCTAGAGGCCTAGGACACCTCCAACGATTCGGCCTGGAATATAATTACTGAAAATCCATATCCGCGAAATCCGCCCTGCAACTTTAACACAACAGCACCACCACGGGTGTCACGTACACAACTATGCGCGGAGGAATAGAGAAATGGAGGCATAATAGGGAATGGAAGGACAATGACAAGTGGTACGAAAAAGGCACAGAGAAACCGACCCCGATGAATATACACACGCACACACACAAGCACACCTCGATTTACATTGTCACCCGGCCTCACCTGCCGTCACAAGAAAGGACGCAACGAAACGATCAAATACACTACACGCTGCGGCCGTAACCCCAAACTAGACGCGGCGCCGGCCCCAGGGGGGCTCCCCTCCCCCTTACCTTTGGGGCGCCCGCCAGCTGCAGCAGCGCAGCGTCCAATTCCTGTATGTATTGTGATATGTAAGGAGTCATGGAGTCATCGGGTGAGGGATGCGGTGCGGCAGGTCACAAGCTGGCACGGGGGTGGTGTCCGATAAGGAAATATATCGGGCATACATACATATATATGTATGTCGTTACAGGGTGGTTAAGCTTCACCAGCGGCCCTCTTATATATGTATGCCCGATATATTTCTTTATATATGTATACATACACATATACATATACACATATATGCATATACATATATGCCCATATAATGGGCATTGCAGACCGAGCCGGCCTGATATCATAACTTTGGTTGCTAGCCTTCCACCGTCGAAGGAGTGGAAAGCATACATACATACATACATGCATACATACATGCATACATACATACATGCATACATACATACATGCATACATACATGCATACATACATACATACATACATACATACATACATACATACATACATACACGTATTAACATCTGCATCCACAGGAAGAGCCACAGGAGCCAAATTATGATCGCACGCAATTCCCTCCCCTCCCATCCTCCCCCCTTCTTCCCCCCCCCCTCCCCCCCTCTTCCCCCCCCCCCTCCCCCCCCTCCCGGCCCAGCCCCGCCAGTCGTGGAATCCTTGTTTGCGGATGGGTCGGTACCGTTTCAACGAACATCCCAAAGGTCCCAACAACCCACCTCTAAACCTCGGCGCTGTGAGGCGCTTGTTCGTACCACAGCAGCAAAAGTATCACGCGCCACCAGCGGCAACAGCAACTGCTGCTGCTGCTCTTCCGCTTTCGCCTCTATGACGGCAGTGGCCGTGACGTAAGACGTTGTGGCGGTGGCTTCCGTTGGAAGTTGGGGGCGCGTTGGATGCCCGCCGCCAGCAGCGGACGAAGCCGCCGTTACAGCTGTCGCCGCTTCAGCTGTCGCCGTTACAGCTGTCGCCGTTACAGCTGTCGCCGTTACAGCTGTCGCCGTTACAGCTACTGCTGGCGTAGTGTCGCCTCCTGACGCACTCGCTGGCGGCCATGACGGTGGTGAAGGTGACACCGGGGGTCGACATTGAGCAGGCATTCAGATGGGCACGGGTTTTCAGAGGTTGAACTCACTCTAAGGCGCATATGCTTAGCGGTATACAAATCTTCGTGTCTTCAGAGCGGGGAGTGGCAGAACTGGCAAGTAAACCACCACCTCATCGCAAACACATGCACACAGTGCCACAGTGTACGGGGGACGACGCGCCAAGTGTACGGCGGACGTACCAGGTCTAATTTCTGAGGGGGCTCGTCTTTGCGGTGCTCGGAGGTCGTCCTTGTTGGCCACTAGCAGTGATAACCCCTTGACCTGCAGAAACAAGAGTTGCGGGTTTAGGCCTTGTTTTCGGGTGAGGGCGGGAATGGCGGTAACCTCAGCACCGAGAAAGGGAAGAGAAAGAATAGCTTCACTTCACTTCATTTGGCTGGCTTTCGGTAACCGCCATTTAACGGTAACCGCCTAAGTCAAAAAAGAAACAACCGCCACATCGCTTTCGATGCGGAAGCGTGGAAGAAAGGGGGCGAAGACAGGGTGCCCCGAGCTGCGAGAGCGAAGGGCAGAAGCGGGCGACAAGAGAGAGCCTCCCTACCTTGCAGGTGCTGCTGCCTGGTCCATCTCCCCACAGCGCCTTGAAGATGTCGGAATCGGCGTCTGTCCAGCCGGCGGCACCATCTACCACCATGATCACGATGTCAGCCGCGGCAGCTGCGGCTTGCGACCGCTCGACCTGCGTGCATGTAAACTTAAAATTTATTTGCTTTACATATTTGGTCAGAAAGGTAGAAGCAGCTTCCAGGACCGTTTCGAGAAAACGCGATAGGAACAAACAGGCGGTAGGAGATTGCATGGAAAAGTAAACGCGGCAAGAAAACTTGTTCATCAGGAAAGATCTTAAGTTAGAGGCGGAAACGTTTGCAATCGTTTCTGGTTTGCATTTGTAAACTTGATTTGGTCTTCCTCTTGTTGATTTGAGTGAAAGCACGGAAGAGGCATTCCGACCAAAATCATTGCGAGGTGACCGGTCGACAAATGATAAGCTCGACGTGATGCTGCCTATCGCCAAGTGGTGGGCGCAACAAGTTTGACCGCAGGACAAGTCACGGGCGGCCGGGAATCGGCGGGTGCGATGGAACTGGGCGCGCTACACGGCGCGCTAAAATAGGCAAGGAACTTGTTTTCGAACGACTACGCCTTCCAAGCGCTATTCATTCTCAAATTTCACCAAGGCACAAACAAAAACTTCACTATTGGATTATCTTTGCTCATGCGAGCTTGCTAAGAGCATGTGACGATTCCTAGCAAACTCAAACCTAGCTCTGAAAACCGTACTTAAGGTCCTGTCCTACACCCTATCTTATAAATCCTATTCCTATAAATCCTATCCTACTTATCTTCTTCCTGTCCTGCAGGTAACGTCTGCATTCCATTCCAAAAGGACCTTGCTGCAGGTGAACTTTAAATCCGGAACGTGCGCGAACGCCGACGCAGGCACAAAAATCCACCTTTTGCCCCGCACAAAACTGTTTTCTTTGCAAGCGCGAGAGAGCCCGGAAGCGACTCTCCGGAAGCGACTCCCGGACACCACCAAGAGGTCCTCAAACCTGCGTAAACCTTTGTTATTGGCAATAATAATAATCATAATCATCCCAACCCTTCCAGAACGTTCCAACACGCCGTGGGCAATCCAATGAAAACTCCATCCTATCTAAGCGCGCGCTATGTCCGCCCACCCAAGCCTCACCCTCACCCACGTTCTCCATCTTCTTCCTCAACACCCACAGCGCTCCTACTACGTCCCATCACGTCATGGGAATACATTCTCTTGGGCGGAGGGGGCGGGTTGACAGTTTTACCCCCCCTCCCCGCCGGAAGACTCCGGAAGCACTATAGTTACTCTCTCCACTTACCCCTATCCGCTCCACGACGTCGTTCGATTGCCGTATTCCTGCCGTATCCAGCAACGTGACCGGCACGCCCCCAATCGACAACGTCGCCTCCAGGACATCTCGGGTGGTACCCGCCACCTCGGTCACGATGGCCCGGTCGCTGCGGCCATAGCATCATAGCCATGGCATCAAGAGAATCAAGAGTGGCAGCAGTAGCAGCAGTAGCAGCAATAAGTTGCAGCAGGCCCCAATTTGGCCCGCATCCTGCTTAAGATGCGCCCAGCCTCCTTCTCACCATCATCTTCGTTCCCTCCCCCTCCGCCATTTGCGACTTCCTTCCCTCACTTCATGTCGCGTGCGTGCCTTCGTTTGTGGCCCTTGCCGTACCTCCTTTCGCCCTTGCCGTACCTGTTCGTCCATGCGTTCAGCAACGAGCTCTTCCCCACGTTGGGCCGCCCAACAATGGCGACCTGGGAAAACCCCGAGCAGCGCGGGGGTTGAAGGGGTTGGGGGGGGGTGAAGGGGTTGGGGGAGGCGGATATATGAGATCACCACGTCATGCAAAAATAAATGAAGCAAAGTATTGCCAAGAGTATATTACAGTACACAATATGAATATTATAACGGCGAATAGGATTGTTAAGTAAAGTAATAAATTGTTTGTAGAAAATGAAAAAAAGAGATTGACTGGGTTATTAGTTTTGGGAGTTTGGGGGCCGGGGAGACGGCGAGGCATGGGGGTTGGACGGATGGGGGGAAAGACGAACCACAAACGAGTGAAGTTGCTGCCAGGGCAAGAGTGTACAGGAAGCAGAACTGACCGAAAGGCGAACCGATGGGTGGGGGACGGAGTAGAAGTTGGCACGGAGTGGGGGTAGGGCGGGAGCCGGTGGAAAGTTCCGGTTGGGCAGATGGAAGGTTGCGGACGGGAAAAGGGGTAAAAGTTGTAGCAAAGCCAAGAAACGCTTTTTTCTCAGCTCTACTGGTTTCGTGGAGTGAGATCTGTACACAGGTCTGTATAAGAAATGCGATTCAGGGTGAATGGGCTCAGTCGCACACTAGCAAACACAGCTTGAGGACGATCACTATGAGTTCGTTATCAAAACGAGGAGCCCTCTCTTTATTCCGCTCCCAAGCACACAGCACATCCTCTTCGCCCGTGTCCGTCCGTCCGTCCGTCTGTCTTTCCGTCCGTCCGTCTGTCCTTCCGTCTGTACCTGCAGGCCATTTCGTAGGAGAGTCCCTGCACGGGCGGTTCGTAGAGCTCGCTCGATGCCCGCCTGCGAACAAACAGACCAACCAACCAACCAACCAACCAACCAGAGTTATTACCAGTTCCAGGATAAGCATCTGGCCAACCGACAAACGAGGCAGGCAGGGAAGCAGAGAGACAGACAGACAGACAGGGAGGCAGACAGACAGACAGACAGGCCCACTCAGAACCGTCGTGGCCGTCACCTTCATCTTCATCTTCACCTACATCATAATCCTCCTACCCCAGACAGGCAGACAGACAGACAGACAGACAGGCATCCTCCTCCCCCAGCTGCAAGGTAAGACCAACCCCGCCAACCTGTATTCGTTCAACCTTTCTCTTCAGCTCCGGAATATCAATTTGTGTAAGATCCTCGTCAAAGTCCAACCTGCAAAATTACAAGCAAAGGATCTACGGTACAGTACGGCGGTACGGCAGCAGTGCAGTTGGGGGACACTCTTGCGAGGGGATGCTGCACGCCCCCAGCCCCCCAAGTAATGGCTCCACTCGCTGCAGCACTTCACTTCCCGCCGCGCCACACTCCCTCACCCGCACACCCCCTGGGCCGTTCCCTAGACCGTACCGTAGATCGTTCACCAATGGGCCGCCCCGTTCAGCTGCGTTTTTTCTTAATAAATTCACGGCGATAAATCCGCGGAATATCCCCCCCCTCTTATAACCCACACCCATCGCCCGCGATGCCGTGTTTTTGATTGGAACAATGGTTTCGGGGCATTTCCTAAATTCATTTTCTTCCGGAAAGCCTGGGACGTCCAACCTAACTTTAAAGTTTACCATTCCTCGGGAAATGGCACCTGGCCATCTTCGCTGGTGAACGGCAAGAAAGGAAACACGCTCGGGCCGGCAAAAAAATTAAAGGAAAGGCCAATGCAGGATAATTTTTTTACCGCAACGTATACGGCAGGGTTCAAGTACGATAGGAGCGCAAAGGGCATCTGCGGCCGGCAACAAAACACACGCACCATCACCCAAATCCACCCCCCACACCGCCTCCACCACAACACTCTCACCCACCTCAACTCCCAACCTTACACCCCTTTTACTGTCACACCTCACCTAGCTTCCAGCTCCGCCAGTACATCTAGACATTGGGATCGCAGCTCCGAAACCACTCCTCCCAACCCCCCCCGGAGGCCCGCCAGCGCGCTGTCAGCCGCTGCGGGGGTACGGGCGGTTAGCAGCTCCGAAACCGCTTCCGCCTTGTTGACGAATAATTATGCGTACATGGAAAGATTAAAAATATTAACGACGTGAAAGGCAAGGAAAAAAGTTGCGTTTGGAAAGATGTTTTCTTGTTGTGCGCGTGTTGGTTGGTTGGTGGTTGGATTGGTTAGGAGTGCTGGAACGGGTCACCAGTTTTAAGGACGAAACACACAGACAAGCACAACATCCCCAACCACACTAAAACCCATCCCGCACTAAAACCTGTTGGGCGCGTCAGGCCCAAGCGAGTCCGTTTTTACAGGCAAGAACAAAAGAAACCAAACCAATTGCCAACTCCCAACTCCCAGCTCCCCAACCGCCAACCGCCCAACTACCTGCGCCAGATCGAGCCGACCGTTGAGGAAGGCCCGCAGCGTGAACTCCCCCGGCTTGGCCAGCCTCGCACCCGCCTCTATGAGCGCCCTGAGCACCCTGCCGCCGCACACCCCGCCCCCGTGACAGTGCACCTCCACCACATCCTCGGCGGTGTATGACCGCGGGGATAACATCGCCAGTAACAGTACCTGGGCAGCCGCCAGGACCCCCCCCCCCCACACACACATACATACAAAACATAAATACATACATGGGAATGACGTGGTGGGAAATGTGGATGTGCGCAACGGATCTGGAGGAACTAAAACACAGTGTTGAACTCCCAAAAGAAAGGGCAGGGCCCGGGAGGCAGGGGGGAGGAAGGGGAGGGGCATGGGAGCTGGGGAGCACGAGACCAGGGTGGCGTGGAAAAGAGGAAAAGAGTAGTGTGGTGGACAGAAGAAGGTGACAGCCAGGAGACAGGATCGGGCTGCGCAAGGCAGGGCAGGGCAGGGCGCGACCAGACCGAGCGAACGACCGTGTGTAAGAGAGAGAGAGAGAGAGAGAGAGTGTGTGTATGGGTGTACGGTTGTGGGTGAGGGGAGGGCGGGGCAGGCTCCTCGCCGGGTGAGGCTCCAGCACGCCATGACTAAGTACGCTGAAAAAGGGAGCTTGCACACATACGTAAAATGTCCTATGCTGCTAGCACACGTTTCCGTACAAGAGTGTCGTGCTGTACGAACCTCGTCCAATAGGCTCTCGTCGCCATCCACAGCCGTACCGTAGTAGACTCTGTGGGACTTGGGTTGCCATCCGAAGCGAAAACGGCCGCCGGGGCGAAACACACGGGAGGCGATGGATACGGCATCCGTACCAGAGACACGGATGATAGCGACCGACCCATGGGCCATGCCTGCAAAAGCATAGCGGTTAACCGTCGTACCCACATTGGTTAATTCGGAAAACATTTCAAAATCAAGTTTGGGAAATAGCTTCTTTGACGGGACATTATGACCTCTAGCAGTAGCACACTGGCCCCGGCTTTTAACGGCAAACGGTTGTAACGGTCACATACAAACTCGCACAATTCTTTCCCCACTCGCTGCTGCTCATTGATGTCCTCCGCGGTGTAAATGCGCGATCAAAAAAAGCGGAACCAAGGACAAAAACAGATAAACAAACAGTAAAATAGGAAATATAAAGGCTGTTATGGCGCCATCATCGCTCATACGGCTCCGAAGGTGGTGAGGAGAAGGTGCGAGGGAGCGCTCTCAGTACTTACACACACTCTTCACACACTCTTCGCATCCTCTTCACATCCTCTTCGCATCCTCTTCGCATCCTCTTCACCTGTCGAAGAAAAAACTGCACACAGACGACCACGCGTGTCTTGCCCAACTAATCCACAATCGACCTTCTTCAACCAAAAGTCCCTTTGGGCTCCTTAAAAACCCTTCGAACATAAGCCCCACCGGAAAATCACCACCACCATCACCACCACCATCACCATCACCACCACCATTACCATCACGATTACTACCCACCCTAGGTGTTGCTACGACACCGCAAGTCAGTCACATGCAGTGCTTAAACGACTTAAACGACTCAAACGGCTGTTGTGACAAATGGGGTGCTAACAGATGCGGAGGTCAGGTCCCCGTCTGTTCTTCTCTATCTTCCTCTTCTCGATGTTCCTCAGACCAGCGGGTTCTATACCCCGGGGGGTTAAGAGGGTTAAGGTACAGATGGCATCTCCCCGCCCTCCTCACCACTGACGATCGCGGCAATGGTGTCCTCGTCTCGTGTCGTCAGCACAGCAGCGCCGCGGCGGCCGGGGCTACTGCTACTGCTGCTGCCGTCAACGCTGTCCATACTGCCCGCGTCGTCGACAGAGGTTCCGGAGCCCGTGGCGCCGTCGTCATTCTCCCAGGAGGGACAACCGCCGCCGCCGCTGTCACCAGGAGCCCCCGCCGCCGCCGCCGCTGCTGCTGCAGGCGCCAATGCAGGGCTAATGGGCTGTAGTAGGGCCGGTGGCGGCAGTAGCCGTCCGCAGCCGGGCGCCGCCGCCCCGCCTGAGATTCGGTGGTGCCAGTGAAAGCGCGAGTAATGTCCTCGGCCTGTGAGGCAGTGACTGCGCCAGCACGAGCTGCAGCCGGCGGCGGCGACGCTGCTGGATGCGGCTGTTGCGGGATGTCGATGGGGGGTATATGTGTGTGTGGGGAGAGAAAGGTAGGGGGGAAGGATTGAAAGACGGGGCTGTGTGCGTTTTGATGTGTGTGTTGTGTGATGTGCGCATGTGGAAGGCAGGTATGCAAGGTGGGTCTTGCCAGTAGGGCTTGAAGACATCTACTAGCTAAAAATATCGGGGGGCTAAAAATATCGGGCGGCTAAGAATATCGGGGTCGCGAGGGGTTTAATGTGGACCTGATGGAGGGCTGCCCTGGATAAGAGGAATGCCATGTGTGGTGCCGACCTTGCGAGCCGTGTCGGGGGAGGGGGAGGGGGAGGGGGAGGGGGAGGAAGCATGTACTAAAAAAATCTTAAGGGGAGAGGAAAGAAAGGGCGTGAAAGGGCGTTGGGGTTGGTTCCCGCGAACCTCGAAGTGCAGGGACCGCGCTGTTGCTGCTCCGCCAAAAGCGAAGTCCCTCAGGCCCCCCTTGTAAGTTTCTTTATGCACCTGTTAAGCGTTGGACGCCTCTCGCCATGAGTTTGATGGCGTCACGCAACACGTTCGCCAAGTGCAGAGTCGCGTCGAGACGCGTCGTTTGATGTTTGCCAAAGCTAAAAGAGCCGACACAAACGTATTCCTAAGGAAAATATCTTAGGGGGTGATGTTGCCAGTCAGTCTTCAGTTTGCAAAATATTTCGCAGCTTCAAACTTGCAGGCTCCCTGTTATCGCTGGATCGCAAGGGATAGAAGATACAGAGCCATATTATTGCGACAGAAATAAGAAACTCGAATTCGCAGACGACGCTTTGTGTACATCGACAACTCGGGAGTTGCGGTATGTGGTACGACGGCTGACGCCGCCACGGTTTGCCGCTAGAAGGCTTCCACCCACCATTATGCCGCATGTACTGAGAAAATTAACTTTCGAAACGCATTGTAACTGCCTGTCGGCGTTTTTGGTCTCGGTAAACTGAACTGGCCACCCTAACGTGATACGCCGTCATGGCGTCAAATTATTTTCCGGTGGGATTGCTGGACCAGCCATGGGGTGAGGACGATTCACTCGGCACATTGTCGTCGCTGGAGAGGCGGCAGAGAAAGGCCGCGGAGAAGTCGGATATCAACGCTTTTTACAAGTTCCTGGGTATCGTGTTTGTAACATTGACCCTCCTTTTGCTCGGTAGTGAACTCTACACAGTCGCCACGGAGCCGTCGCGCGGTCTTACTGGTGCATTCTTTTTGGAGATAGGGCGGATGTCTGGAGTTGCTTACGGGCAGCTGCAGAACCTGTACAAGGCAGTTGGTGATGTTGCCTGGACTGGAATTGCTGTCGTCTATGGCCACGATTTTGCTCAGCGAGGTGGGTTGGAATAGGCTTTGGGCACCTCGCGAACACCACCAACGCCTGCCGAAGGATTGTTGACATCAATGGTTGCTGAGGACAATCATTCCTGAGTCCCATTGTTCGATAGACACAGGTTCTTGTATGCTTAGCTGCGCCTAGGTTGTCACGTTCTTTATGGTTGGGGCCACCAATGCATGTGCTCGCTTTATCGCTTACATCAACCCTTGCTTTAGAAATCAAAAGCCAAGCCGCATGCGGGGTCTGTTAGGTTTGGTTGAGCCAACCCTACTCTTGCTATCTGTGTCCTTCCCTCGCCTCTGTCTCCAATTTGTGCAGGTGTAAGCATCACGGATGGCGCAGCGCAACTCCTTGCGAATGGGCTGTATTATCTCGCTTTGGCGTTATCGGGTATGGCGCTTGCTGTGTACTCCTTGTTAACATCAGAACCTGCGAGGACTTGTGAAAATGGCACCACGTAGGAATTTACTTATCTGGGCGAGAAAGATAAGTATGAATGCGTGTGCTTTTTCAGACAGCCATTGCATGCTGCCTAGCCGCGAATGCCCAGCCAGGTCCTCCACGCTGCTATGTTCCGGATAATTGTCAATAGACTCTGCCTCAGCAACTCTGCAACCCGTCGCTTAATAAGCAAGCGACCGCTATGTCAAGTGGGTCGTTCGCCCGCAAACTGTAGCCTTGCACGCTTTGCCCCCCTGTGTGCTTTGGCCCCCCGGCCTCCCCCCTCCCACAGTCCTCATCATGTATTACGCACATCCCGCCGTAGTCTGCGCGCCGCTGCGCACAGCGGCCCTTAGCACCCTAACTGCCGGCGGCCTGTTCGGGGCACCGACGCTTTATGCATGGCTCGTCTCGCGCCTGTGCAAGACGCGGAGCCCAGAGCCGGTAGTCCTTTGGGCGCTTCTTTTTGCCGGCATGATGTGCTTCGCATCACTCTCCGTAGTGAGGACAGTAGGCATCCGTCCAGGTGATGCGCCACATCATGCTCCAGGGGTGGCCAGCTTGTCGCGGCACCGCAGCTCAGCGGCACTACGATGCCAGCGGCCGATGACAGCGAGTGCTGCCTCGGCAATGGGCAGCGGCGGAGCCGCTGGCAACGCCGCCTCCACCGGAAGCAGCGGGCATAGGCGCAGCGCGCAGAGCCGTACAACGTCAGTAGGGCGAAATGGCGGTGGCAGTGGAAGCGGAAGCATCGCCGCTGCGGCGGCGATGGCACGGGGGGATGCGATGCAGCCGCCGTCCATGGCGCGTTCGGGCTCTTCGGCTAGCTTGACCGTGTCTGGGGGTTTACTCGCGGCTTTTAGTTGCCTGTCTGGGGCCAGCACGCCGGGGAGTACGGCGGACCCTGTCGGCATGCAGGCCTCCGTACGAGCCGTACACCGCACCACCGGCAGTAGCGGCGTCAGCGGCAGCCGTAGCACCGCCGACCTGACCCCTGCCCCACATGCCAGTGGTGGGGTCCCTCCTAATCCTACTAGTTCCATGGTGACTAAGCGCGGCGCAGCAGCAGCAGCAGCAGCAGCGGCACAGCGGGGAACAACTGGTGGTGGGGCTGCCGCTACCGGACCATTCTCGTCATCGTCATCGTCGTCGTTCGCACCGTCAGCATCGGCTGCTGCGGCCGTGGACGGTCGCGACCGACCCACGGGTCACGCGTACGGGTTGCCTGCATGTTTTGACCCAGTTGGGGTGTCATCTAGCAAGCTGGCTGGGAGCTCGGCGCCTCCGCGGAGCTCCGGGACGCGGCGGGCAATGTCAGCGGTTCTAGGCGGTACAGCAGCAGCAGTAGCTGGTTTTGGCAGCGGTAGCAGCAGCAACAGCAGCTGTAGCGCGTCTGCAGCTGCCAAGCTCAACACGAGCAATAGCAGTAGCAGCAGTAAGGTGCGGCAGCAGACTGGAAGCCCAGCCTGTGGAAGCACCGGCGGCGGTGGCGGTGGCCCTGACAGGCCAAGTAAAGCGAAGCAGGGGGCCGGGGGGAGTGGCGGTAGCAATGGCGGCGCGGCACCTGGATCACCATCGCCTAGTCAAACTCGTAGTAGCACGGCGGCAGATCCAGCTGCAGTGCATACGAATGGGAGTAGCAGGCAAGCAGACACGGGATCTCACGCTTCTAAAACAAAACACAGCCACCAGCACGACCCAGCTGCGGCGCCTTTGGTAGCGCACCGCGAATCCGTCGCTGCCGCTGCTGGCACGACATCGCTATCATCATCATCAGCCACATTAGCATTATCATCATTATCAACAACAACAACAACAGCGGGCCCGATGGCTCCGTTGGTTGCTGCATCCAAGAGGAAGGGCTCAAGCAATGCCCCCGGGAGCAGTGCCTCCAGCAGTAGTGGTAGTGCTGCTACTGCTACTGCTGCCGCCGTGCCGGGTCCCGCAGCATCCCTGCTTTGCCCCGCTGTGACACCTAGAGCGGTAGCGGCAATAGGCACATCATGTCAGCAGCAGCAAAGCGCGCCCTCTATCGGTGCGTCCGCTGTCGTCCCCATCGCCCCCCTGGCTGCAGCAGCAGCAGCTTCCACCGGGACATCAAGTCGATCCTGCCGGCCGGAGGTCGCTGGTTCGAAACCGGCTACCGGCACAACGGGTACTACTTCTTTTCTTAGCCTTTCTACAGCCAAGGGCACATCGTCTCCTGCCAGCAATGCCACCACAATCACCACAAACGCTGGCGGGTTGCTGTCTCGGCTTACTGCGTCCGTAGCTTCGGCAGCAGCGGCAGCTCCCGCCATGGCGGGCCGTACGGCAAAGAAGGCTGTAGCCACTACCGCCGCATTTTCCCGCAAGCCCCACGGGCCGCAACAACAATCTCCATTGCCGCCGCCGTCGTCACCGCAGTACGTTATCGTACAACCGCCGCCACCGCCACCTCCGCGTAAATCGCATGTCCAGATTGCGGACTCTTCTGTAGCGGCTCCTGCTGCTGCTGCTACTGCCACCCCCGCCAGCGGTGCTCAGCCGGCAGGCGGCGGCGGCGCCGCCGCCGCCGCCACAGCAGCGGTGACCTCGAGCCAGAGCTCTGTCAGTCGCAATCCCTGGCTTAACCCTAACCCCGCGATAAAGCTTGCTGTCGGACTGCCCAAGGGCCTTAAAAGTGCACCTGCTGCCGGCAGGCAATCGCAATCTATGCCTATGTCCGTACATCACCCGGCAGCAGCAGCAGCAGCGGCGGCGGCGGAAGCCCCAGCAGGAGCGGCTCGCAGTAGCGGCGGCGGCGGCGCCGCCGCCATGCATTCCTTGGTGGCGTCATCCGCTCGTTCCATAAGCTACGGCGGCTCCGCAGCTGCTACTGCTAGTGCTACTGCCGGCGTCACGTCTGCGTATCCGTCGATTGTGGACAGCGATTCTCACGCCTATGCGCGCCCACCGATATTCGGAAATACCGCTGCTGCTACTGCCACTACGGCGGCACCGCACCTCAGCAGCGAGCCCGTTGCCACCGCTGCGGTGGCCGCAGTAGCAGCAGCCCCTGTGTTGGGCGTTCCCGCGAGCGTTTTCCTGCAACCCCACACACAGGAACAGCTCCGAAACCATTTTCAGTCAAACTCTGCAACAACAGGCCCGGATTCCTTTATCTCAACTACCTTCATCTCCTCTGACGCCTCGGTGGGCCCGCTGGTGGCGCACAAGCACGCATCCGGCGATCTGGACATTGCAAACGTAGCCGCGAACTACCATCCCTACCCGTCAGCCGTAACGACGCCTAGAAACGAGTTTTCAACGGTACCCATCCTCCGGGCGGCGGAGTCCGAGTCGACGGACTCCTTCTCGCTTTTCTCGACGCCGCCGCCGCCGCTGATCACCTCCGAAGCCGCCGCCGCTGCAGCTGCCAGCATAGACCCAGCCGTTGGCCTGATGCCGGCGGACGCTGAACCTGCGCCCCGCGGCGTCAGCACAGGCGCAGCGGGACATGTGCTGTACGGCTCGTACGGAATGTACGGCGGTCACTACACTGCCCTGCCGTCGCTCGGTGGAGATCCGGTTTGGAGCCATAACGTGCCGTCCGTCTTTGGCGTGCCGCCGGGTCTAAAGGGTGCCAGGGCGGCAGCGACGGCGGCAATGGCGCCGCCGCCAGGATTTCCCAGCCACGCGTACGGCGGCGTTTTCGCGGCAGGTCCAGTGTCCGGCGGCGGCGATGGCTGGGAGCAGTCGGCAGCGGCGGCAGCCGCCGTCGTCGCCACGACAGCGTCCAGCACCCTGTCTGCCGCGCTGCCGCTGCCGCCGGCGGGCAAGAATGACGTCCTGGCGTCCTTGGGGTTTGTAGACGACGGCGCCGACGCCGCCGCCGATGGCGCCAGTGGCGGCGGAGGTGGCAGCAGCGAGGACGCCGGCGCGTCATGCGCCATCTGTTGGTCCGAGCCGCGGCAAGTGGGCTTCCTGCACGGCAAGACCAGCCACCTTTGCGTGTGCCGCCGCTGTGCCGCCAAGCTTCGGGAGGGCGTGCACCGCTGCCCCATGTGCCGACAGCTCATAGAGCGGATCATTGACATCTACTAGAAGGGGAAGTCTCCACAACACCGTAGACCCGGGGAATGCACATTGCAGTACAGTACGGCAGCTGAGGGGTGCTCAGCTCACACGCGACGGCAGCGACTGTGGCGGCGGCAGCGACTGTGGCGGCGATGGCGGTGGCAGCGACGGCAGCGGCTGTGGCGGTGGCAGCGGCGGAGGTGGCAGCGACTGCGGCGGCGACGGCAGCGATGGCGGCGGCAGCGGTGGTGGCGGCGACTGTGGCAGCGGCGACAGGAGGCAAGAAGGCCATGAGAGGCGAATGGTGCCTTCGTTGGTGTCGTTGGCTCAGTGGGCAGTGCGTAACGGCGGGCCGCACAGTCACAGGGGCCCTATGGGCCGCACAGTCACAGGGGCCCTATGGGCCGCAGGGGCCTCCATAAGGCGTTCCCAGAGATACAATTCCCTTGAAGGCCAAGCTCCTCGCGCTCCACCTCGCCACCACCGTCGCAATGCATTAAGTTTTGGGGATAGTTAGGGGGTTCGTGTGGGTAGAATGGTGGGGGACCCTTCCGGAGTAGCGGCGTGCGGGTCACGGCTGGCACGCGAGGGGCGGGGTTTTTGGGGGGCGGGTCCACGGCCATTGGGGGACGACGGCATCAGGGGCCAGCCCGTCGTCGACGGGTGCGTGTGGCGTGTGGCGTGGCGTGCGACGTCGTGTGCGAGCTGTGCAAAGCGGCGCGAGGCGTATGCACGTATGTATGTAGGTAATGTGAGTCGAAGGTCTGAATCGCAGGGCTCTGTTTATGTGCCGCTGGTGCTGCTGCTGTACATGAGGTGGTTAGCGGTTGGGACCGTTATGCGGTTGAGAACGACAGTTGTGTGCCGCGGGTACTCGTGCGCAAGGCCTGCCCGGACTGTTCACACGCGTTATGTAAGTATGTATGTATGTATGTAAGTATGTGGCTGGCCATGCAAAGCAGGGGCGGTGGGCGCTCCCGGCAGGGGCCGCCGCCTCTGACGCGGTGAGGTGACATGTGAGAGCATGTGGCAGTGGTTGGTGCGCGGAGACATCTACCTGAACGTGGCCGCCATCGCACGCGCAACCCCGCTCCCACCTCCTCAGCTGCCACGACGTGGTGGTGGTCTTGGTGCCGATGGTGATGACGATTACTGAACACCACAGGGACGGGGGGTCCGCTGTGTGGTCCACTTGCAGGCATCATCAGCGACCTGATGGGTCATTTTCCGCTCCGTACTTGCGGCGCCGGTGGACATACATACATACATGCATACATACATACAGCCGGCTGGTGGTCATGGCGTGGGTGGCACGATTACATTATTGCGACCACGGGGGATTGCGGATGGTGGAGTTGGCGCTGCCCCTGGGGGGATGCGGGCGCAGGTGCGTTAGCATGCACTGCTTGCCTTTTCCCTACGTTTGGGGTGTGTGTGCGTGTGTGTGTGTTACTTTTAGTCTTGCCGCCGTCTCTCTATCTATGTCTCGGTGTATGTAAGATGTAGAGAGTGTGTGTGTGTGTGCGCATGTATATGCACACATACATGTATTTGCACACACACACACACACACAGAGGCGCGCAAGCTGGCCGTGCAGTGTGCACGTGGCAGGTGCTGAGCAACAGCAGCAATGCAGCGCTCCTTCCAGCAGACGCCCGCCTCGTTCCGGGTTCACGGGTGCGCGCGCCATTCGTCAAGCGGGGCTTTTGGTAGGGCCAAACTAGGCAACGCTCGGCCCTTGGCTGGGCTGGGTTGGGTTGGGCTGGGCTGGGCTGGTTCAAGCGAGGCGAGGCGAGCAGGTCGCATGTTGGGGGCTCTCGGTGGTGGTGCCGACGGCGGCGGCGGCGGCGGCTGCAACTGTGTCTTGGTTTTACCTAAAGGGGTGTTGCCTGTTTTGGACACCCTGGAAAAGCCGCGGCGGGGCTTGGACGCCCAGTTGCGTTACATATCTGTTAGGCCAACCGCCGGCCAAGGGCGCGCCATGCATGGCTTTAGCCGTGTGTCAAACCGTTTTCCGAACAGATTATACATTTTATCAAACACGGTAGCGACGTGTTCATATCTTGCAGGAGGTTTCTTGCGCACCTTTTGGCGATGTGGTCGTAGTAGGTATAGCACTGTTTGCTCTTTTGGAGTGTGGCGTTATGTACTAGTGGTGGTGGTGGTGGTGGTGGTGGTGGTGGTGGTCGATAGCGGAGGGCTAAAGGCTAGAGGGTCCTGTCGCCGCTTTTTGAGGTGAAGGAGGAGGAGAAGGAGGCGGCCGTTTGGGTGGATGAGCGTGTTGATGGCTATGGGTGGCTGGCTGGCTGGCTGGCTTCCCCACTCTCAAACTCGCGTACAGAACCGTAGACGGCGTGGACGCCAACCTGATGTGGTTTCGGAGGAGGTTTGAGGATGTGTGATGGCCCCTGGGGTTTTCTTCTCGCTCTTTACGATGCTCCTTGCTGCTGTTTGATGATGTGATGCTCGAAGGAACGTCTCACGTAATACACGTGTTGCGTACGGCGGAATGGTGAACTGCTATTATGCACACAGCACATTGCGCTGTGGACGGGCAAATGTACGGCAGCGGCCGTACATGTGTATTTGCGAGATGTCTCAAGGTGGGAAAGGGATTGTTTTTATAGGCAGGAGTGGAGAGATGAACATAAATTCAACGATAGGTATGTTGCGTGTGGGTGTGGGTGTGTGTTGGTGTTGCGTTGTACATTATAAGAACGGTAATGCAACAGCGCTACCATTGTCATGGGAACAACCCTTATACTGACATCTCGAGGGTTGTGCTGTTTCTCTGCAGCTACCTACCGCGTACGGAAACATCGAAAGCGCTCTATTAAAAGCATATGTACTATCACGAGTTGATTATGGCTGTTGGTGCTGTGGTCTGTTGCATAATACTTGTTCTGAGAGGTGTTGTATGCTGCGCGCACGAGCAAGGGCTGTGAGTTGCATTCCCTGCCTCGCCGGCGACGTCTACATATTCCGTTCCAAACCCCTTTGGTAGATTTCCGAATTCTTCTTCGCTATTTCACAACAAAACGCGCAAGCATCAAGTTTGGCCAGAATCTGTACACAGAGCTGCGTTCCCAGAGCTGCTTCAGAAAAAAAGCTATAAGGAGTTTTGATGTTGAGCCTGGCAGTTTCTTAACGACTATGCGACAAAAACACGATTTTCAGTTGTAATTCCATTGTAGAGTAGCTATCCCTTAGGATTTACCCAGGAAAAAACACAGCCAAAGTTGTCGTCCAAAGTCTGAACACCATGAAAACGCTCATCCCTCAGGAACTGTAATAACAATCAAACATGGCCTTTTTACTTGCTTGCTCGACTAGCAGCTTGGCGAAACTTGCTCTGCTATATACACAGTTTTAGGTACGCACAGTTTCACAGACGAGTAGATGTAAACAACTTTCACGTTAGGTTCAAGCGCGCAATTTAGCGACCCACGTTGCGTCGCCAGCCACGTGCTTCCCCCTGTCCTTATAGGCTGCATCAGGGCCAACTTGCTGAAGGCAGTCGGGGTCCAGGGTGAGGGGGCTATCAAAAAAATCCCGCCCGCCCGCATAACCGGGCAATTATTAGGACGTACAGAACAAACTGCGGCCAGCAGCTTTGCGCAGTCGTTGTGTCGGTTGGCGGTCTCCTCGGCGGCTCGTCCGAGTCCTCGTGCGTGTGTGCTGTGTGGGATCCAGCAGCAACAGCAACAGGTGCCGTTCCTGTGCACAGGGGAAACAAGTTCGGCATTAGGTCGGATTAGGTGAGCGGCAGTCACATACAGCGGCAGTCACATACAGCGGCAGCCACGTCAAGATGTTTTGATACACGTGGCGCCTTGCGTAACGGAAAGTTGGGGAGAAGGTTCCCGTGCCCCGTGTCGCCTGCTGGTAACACGACGCAGGGTTCCCTATGGCCTTGCATACCAGGCACCACCACCAGCACCAGCAGCACCACCACCAGCAGACGCAACAGCAGCAGCAGACGCAACAGCAGCAGCAGCCGAAGCAGCAGACGCAACAGCAGCAGCAGCAGCAGCAGTCGCAGTCACAACAGCACCGGCATTCGCAGCGGCGCCAAAATCAGCATCACGACGGCTGCAAGACCGGCGAAGCGCAGTCCGCTGCTTTTCACGGGAACATGCATGCGCCTGCCAGCGCAGCTGTCTTTCTCGGCAATGGTGGCAGCGGCACCAGCGGCGGCGGTACCAGCGGCGGCGGCGGCGGCGGCTTACTCGTAGGTAGGTCCCCAGACCCACCTGCAGGGCATGTCCCCGACGACAGATCAGCTGAGCTCACCTCACCTCACCTCACCTCGACCGTTTCGATCGCTCTGCGCTTTTCTAGATGTTGCCCGCTTTGCGTGTTTTCATGCCCGCTTGCAAGTGAGCAGCAGGACTATCCTGCTGCCTGCAAGCAGCCCTCCACATAACCAAGCCAAAACCCTCCCTCCCTCTGTGCCTCCCTCCCTCCCTCTGTGCCTCCCCCCGCATTGTCCCCCAAACTACCCAAGGGATATTGCTGGTGTTGGGGCTGAGCCTTCTGGGCTCTCTGGTGGTCCTCTTGCATAGCCAACAGCTGCACCAGCAGTTCCCGGACCCACACCAGCACCCGCACCCGCACCAGCACCCGCACCCGCACCAGCACCAGCACCCGCACCAGCAGACTCGGCACATTGCACTTCGCATCCCCGGGTTCCTCACAACCGCCTCGCCACGTCAGTCTTCTTCCTCCAGCCCAGGCCCGGACCTGGGAAGCCGAGGAAATCGACAACATGCCCAAGGCAAGGAGCGGGTTGAGGCGATGACGGCGACTGCGGACGAAGGGGTCAATGGCTCGACGGCGAGTTCTTCACCTCCCCGGCCGTCAACTGCAGTAGCAGCAGCAGCAGCAGCAGCCGTAAGGGGCCAAGCAGTGAACCGCCAGCGCCAACCGCCGCAAGAGCAGCTGGTGGAGAAAGGACGTACAAACTCTGAGCTGCAGCAGCAGCAGCAACAGCAACAGCAACAGCAACAGCAGCAGCAGCAGCAGCAACAGCAACAGCAACAGCAACAGCAACAGCAGCAGCAGCAGCAGCAACAGCAACAGCAGCAGCAGCAGCAGCAACAGCAACAGCAGCAGCAGCAACAGCAACAGCAACAGCAGCAACAGCAGCAGCAACAGCAGCAGCAGCAGCTTCAGCAGCAGCAACAGCTCCAGCAGCAGCAACAGCAACAGCAACAGCAGCAGGTGCACCCAGACTCGGGTCAGGATACCAGGCCGAAAGCGGCGGCGGCCTTTCCGGTGGCGAACGAGGTGGCCCCCCGGGTCGATCCGGGGACTGCCAGGCTGCATCGCATCCCCCCCATCATCCACCAAAACTACCTGTCTGGAGTGGCGGCACTGGAAAGGGACTCGCGAGCGGAGAAAACGCACTTTCGGTTAGTTCAGTTAGTTAGTTAGGTCGTAAAAGTAAATGGCAAAGCATGAACAGATGGCCATTTCCACATACGCGTGCAGCTGTTTGCGTCACAATGATGTTGTCCCGTCGTACGGCGATACTGTGCCGTCGAGAGACGGAAAGGCTGCTAGGTATCGAAGGGTAAGGCCTCCATGAACACTACACTACCACCGTACTGTCGTACAGTGTCGTACAGAGGCGAATGCTACCGAGGTTATATTCCCACGGCTGGCGCTAACTGCAACCCTGCAATAGTGCTCCCTTGAGATGTGCCCCATGCGGCTTCCCAGTCCAGATATGCCCTAACACATAACAGTTGTGGGAAGGAACCATATCCTAATGTATGTTTGTGCGTATGTATGTGTGTCCTAAGAAATGCCTTCTTGCCGCCCCTACCCCGTTCTCCTCCTCCCGTCACTCGCCGCTCGCCATCCACCTGCCTCGCCGGCTCATGTATATCACGTATATCCCGTTCGGTTGCTGCTTACCAGGCGTGAGTGGTGGCTCTCCTGCCAGGTGGGATGGGGGCCCCCGGGGCCGGTGGAGCGACTCACTCGTGGTGCAGTGAGAAACTTTGTCTCGCCCTTCACACTGTCACTCTTTCCTGTCCTTGTGCTGCTGCGCTCACCGCCATCATTTTGCCGTGCTGTACCGTGCAACATGTAGACGCACAATCCGGGATGGCGCCACATATTCTGGGACAGGGAGGCCGGGGAGCAGCTGTTGAGGACCAGGTAAGGGTGAGGACAGAAGGGGGAGGGGGAGAGGGGAGAGGATGAGGACAGAAGGGGGGAGGGGGAGAGGGGAGAGGATGAGGACATCCTCTTTCTGGGTCTATCTGCAAGTTGTGGACCGGGGGTTTATGAAGGGTGGATTGCTGCTTGCTGGGTGTGATTGCTTAAGTGGCCACACGCACGCACGCACATACGTACATACATACATACATACATACAAGTGGCCAACCCTGCACTCGTGCGGAACTTGTAACTTGTCATTTTTTGTGTGTGTTTGTGTGGCTATCCTTGGTGTGCCTAATGTTGGCGCCGTTCTAGTTTAATTCACTTTGACTGCGGTCCGGTGGTTTGTCCCGTGGCAGGTACCCCTGGTTCTTGGCCGCTTGGCAAGGTTACACGTCCGTGGTGATGCAGTCAGATGCCCTAAGGCCCTTCATCCTCCACACCTACGGTGGGCACCGGGTCTTTCATCTGTAATAATGAAAATATTAACTATTTCAATATTATTCAAAATATTAATAATTCATAATATTTATTATTTAAATAATATTTGTTTATTTAACTATATTACTTCATCTCTATTAAATATCATTATTGGTGTTGGTGTTGGTATCTCGTGTGTAGAGAGGACCTGCAAAAGCTGGCGGCAACCAACCTGCTCAATAGGCTCAATAGGCGTTTCTGACAAGGCTATGAAATGAGCATGGAAAGCAGTGTGAGAATCCGGAAAAGAGTTCCTCCCTCCAGACATGTATCTAGCATCCCGCGGTGAACTTTAGCACGTGCAGTGCACTTCACACATGGACCACCTGTGGCACCGGCGGCTGCCTGTTTAGGCGTCTTTCCGTTTTTGCAGGTGGAGTGTACTTGGATTTGGACACGGAGTGCTTCAGGCCACTGGATCGCAGTTTGGAAGGTAATTCAGCACCTAGGACGATTTAATTTCGTAAAATCGTTCATTTATCCTGTGAAATTTGAGATTTTTTCCGTGTGAATTTTGTGGGTTTTCAGTAAGTTTTGATGAATTTTCATGTCAACTTTGATATAGTTTCGTGGGAGTTTTATGAGTCTTCATGTGAATTTTTTAATTTTTTTTCGTGTGAATTTTGACTTTTTCCGTGTGATTTGGATTGTACTTGCATTTTACTATATAATTGGGTTGACGTCTACGGCGGCCCCCAAGCGCTTCTAGTTCTTCTCTCAAACTCCATTACAGCACACCAGGCCTCATCAGCGACCCGAGCCCGTGTCGCGCGTTATATATTATTTAAATGTCGTTGATCTCGACAAAAAGCAAACACGCACGGGAGACAGGCAATCAGCGTAAATGCCGTCAGTCGCAACAACCGTCCCTGCTACCAACCAACGCCAACTGTTACGAACCAACGCCAACTGCTACCAAGCGGATCTTCTCTTCCCGGTGGGTACACGCGTGGGTACACGTTGCGAAACGCTGCCTGTTTAGGCTACGACCTGGTGCTCATGGCGGAGGAGCCTGATCTGGCCAACAACGCGCAGATGGGCTCCGTGCCGGGGCACCCGCTGTGGCAGCTGGTGATGCGCCAGCTGGTTGCCAATGCGGCTGCGGGCCTGAGTGATCCGCTGTACGCCACCGGACCCCGCGTCATCACAGCAGCATTCCGGGTATGTGAGTGGGGAGATGTGTGTGGGGAGATGTGTGTGGGGAGATGTGTGTGGGGAGATGTGTGTGGGGAGATGTGTGTGGGGAGATGTGTGTGGGGAGATGTGTGTGGAGAGATGTGTGTGGGGAGATGTGTGTGGGGAGATGTGTGTGGGGAGATGTGATGAGTGTTACGCCTCTCTGGGTAACACAACCGAGGTGTGTGTGTGTGTGTGGTTGTTACAGTGGGCTCCAGACTCACGAAGAGTAGAGCCATCGGGCGAGCTGGCCGTGCACTGCACTAGAGACTAATATACAAATTAGGCAATCACCCAGATGAGACAACTAAAGGCAATTAGACAGTCAAACCGCGAGGAAAGGGAAGGCGAAGGACCCCCAATTATTATTGAAATAGGCCTGAGCCTGAAAAGTCCTCCGATTAAGAGAATCAAAAAAATTGGTAATAGATAATCGTCCATCGGTGGCCGCTCCCGTGAGCATAAAAATTTGCCATATACAATTCGCAAGAAGGGGTCACGTGCGCCAACAGAATCCCAGTCTTTCCGTGGAATTCCCAGAGCTGCGAAACCCTGAAGGCGGCCCCAAAAGCCAACAAAAGTCAACCGAGGTGTGAGAGACACAGACGCACACACACACACACACACACCAAAAAAACATGCAGCGTGGAGGGTAAAAAGGGGGAAAGGTGCGGGCTTGCATTGGAAACGTCGAAGTAGTATAGGAGTGGAGGCCCGGGGCCCGGGGGGTATGACTGGTGGGGTTGCAGGAAGTGGTTGAGAGAGATGCAGATAGGTGACGGTTTGGCAACCAGGTGGAATTGTGGTGTGTATGTTGCTTGTGTAGGACACATTAGATATTGGGGCACAATACAAACTGTCCTACAAACTGCAGGGGGACTACAAAAAAGGACAAAGGAAGACCAGATGTGCAATGATATCCTGATTTGCATTTTCTTGACTACAGACCTTCGCTCCAACTTCCCGGGTGTTAGTTGTTAGTTGTTAGTTGTCAGGTGTCGGTTGTTAGTTCCTGTTCTCCATGTCAAAACATCTCGTCTGTACCTCCCCCTCCCCCAGTTCTGCTTCCTGTACATCTGCCGCAGCACTCTTTCCTTGGCAGCAGCTTTCAGAGGTGAACCCCTGAAGCCCCTTACCCCCCACCCCCCACCCCGGAGCGTCCGTCGGCGCTCCATTTCGCATCAACAGGAACTGTTCGCAGTGCCATCGGGGCCCCTGCCCGGCCGCTACAGCACCGTGATTCCCACGGATCGCAATACAGAGGTGCACACCGACCCGTGGGTCGGCAGAGCAGCAACGGCAACAACAGTGGAGCAACAGCCGCCGAGTCCTGCAGCCGCCGTAAGTAGTAGTAGTAGTAGTAGTGGTGGCGGGAGCACCGGCGCGGTTGCTGCTGTCGCGACGACGGGTGCGTCGGCGTCAGACCCTCATGAAGGCAAGGAGGAGGGAGGACAACACGATGTGGAGGCTGGCAGGGTTGCGGCTCCCGAAGGGCGGACCCGGTTTCGGAGCTCCGAGGCTGTGGTGTACGGCCCGCGTCAGTGGTTTCATCCTTGTGCCTGGAATGATGGCGCTTGCCACCGAGCTGTGTCTCTCATCACACCGTTGTTGCGGCGGGAGCCGTCAGCCGCCGTGGCCGCCGTGGAGGCAGCTGCTGCTGCTGCGGGTGCTGCCGCTACCCGCAGGAATACGTCAGCGACCGCCGCAATGACCCAGGATGCGTCAGCAGGTCGTACCGGTACGGCAGCAACCCTCCGCTGGCCGCCGCAGCCCCTTTGCGGGGCCTTGCGTTATAATAACCCGCAGGACTTCAATATCACCGGCGTGAGTGGGAATACGGCAATGGCGGCTACTACTGCTGCCACTGCTGCTGCTGCTCCCGCCATGGCGGCGGCCGCAGCCCCGGGCGATCTAACGAGTAGTTGGTCGTTGCTGAGTCTGTTGGACGTTGTGGGCGAACACCATTTCTCCGGTAGTTGGCTGGGCTACGACGGCAGCAAGGCGCAGAGGTCCAAGGACTCGGTAAGTGACTCTACCTGAGTCCGCAACAGGGCGCCATCACCCCCTGATGAAAAGAATACAGAGAAGACGTGGTGATGGAGAGGCTTTCTGTTCATAACCTAAATCTTTTTCATCACCCTCCTCGTTCTCGTTCTCCTTCTCGTTCTCTCCAGCTGCCTTGTATGTGCCGTTGCACCCACCATCATATCCCATAGCTAGTGGTCTTCTGGACAGTATCCTGGACCGTATATCCTTTGCAAACCTTCCTGCCGTACCGTAACGCACCTAACAGAGCCTCCGAAACCATCTTGTATTAATTGCAGGTGACCCGTGTCTGGGCCACCCTGGGGGATTTACCCCCCAGACCTCGCATGAACCCATGACGGTTGCACCTTTAGGAAAAAAGAAGGGCAACGCAGAGGTGGAAGGTGTAACATGCTTAGAAACATAGATCTGCTACATGGGGGATCCATTATTCATATTTTTTTCCCGTACAATTTTCCATATGCTCCGTTTGCTCTATATATATCTGTATTCCGTTTTTTTTATCTGTCCTGAGTCTCGTCATGAACCTTTTGCCGTACAGGTGACGGAAGGGCTGTCAACCTTTTTCAGCGATGCGCGGCTGTTCATCGAGGACGTCCGCAGCTGTGGCGACGCCATTCCAGTGACCGTTACAGCAACCACCGCAACGACCACCACAACGGTGACAACCACCTCTGGCAGCCCAACCGCAGGCACTACTAACAAGGCGACCGCAGTCAATGATGAGGGCACATCATCGTCAGCACGGAACGCGACGACGGGGGGGGGCCCAAGAGACCGTCCCCGGCCCCGTCCCCGCCTCCGCCCCCGCCTCCATCTCCGCCGTCTGGATCCAGTTATCCATGGAATGATTGGGGCAACATGGAAGACGAGACAGCTGCCTTTGAATGAAGCGGTTTCGGAGCCAGCCTGCTTCGCTGCTGAATGGTACCTCCGAGCCCCAACCTCAGGCCCCGTTCCCCCTGCCCAAAGCCGCCGCGCGACTGCAGTAAGGTCAGGGGAGACCCAGTCGATTACACCGCTACAGGGGCCTGCACCAGCAGCAGCAGCGGCAGTCTTTTCAGAACTGCAGCAAACAGCGCCACTCACGGCGCAACGGCAGGCGCAGGCGCAGGCGCGACCGGCGCCGCAGTCTTCTGGATGGGTGGGGGGACGGGGGGTTGAGAAGCGGTTGGATGCTGCAGGCCAGGGCGTGCGTGGGCGTAGGAGCGGTATGCGGCGAGTTAGCACAAGGCCCTGCACAGTGCTGCATGTGCGAGAGACGCCGCAGCCGCCGCCGCCGCCGCCGCCGCAGCAGCAGCAGCAGCAGCTGGACACCGCGCTGGCTGGGAGCCTCGCATGTGATGTGCACGTGCTTAATCTGGTGGGAGCGAAATGGAGACCGTACGGCACATACGACGAGTATGGAGACGCAGGATCGATAGACCGTCCACCAGTACGTAACATGCGTAATATTATTCATGTCCCCATAACCTGCTGCACATCACAATAGACCACGATAGGCCTGCAAAGGGTACATGTAAGCCTTGCATGAAATGACGACCAATAAATAGATAAGATCTCGCTAATAAGATGGACCTGTACTAAAAGGCGTTAGTAAAAAAATGGAATCTGTTTATATTTATTATTAGCTTGGCTTTGGGATTTCAGCCCTAACATGTGCACGTGCAGCATGCTTGGGAGTCTTGGACGCCGCTTGGGGTTCTTAGTTCTTGAGTTCACGCGTTCACCGAGGTTACGTTATGAGGTTGTTTCCCGTAACGTGTCGCACCGTACTCATTCTTTTCTAGTATTTTCTCATTTAATCCTAAACATCTGGAGGACCGTCCTCCTCCTCCTTCTTCCCACACGATTGCGTTGCGGCCATGTCTGTCCATCTTGTCACACGGCACCACATGCCATCCTCCTAACCTGCAAGAAGGGTTTAGCTCCCTTGGCATCATTTCCCTGAGTACTCTTTGCCCGCTGGTGTTTACATAACCTACCTACCCGCGACGCGCGTAAAAGGTTCTAAGGGCTGTTGGCAACGGCCGCATCTTCTGGCACAGCCCGGTCCGGATCTGGATGCTGGCTGCTGCTGCGGGTTATGGAGGGAGTGAAGAGGCAGTGATCTCTATCTCAGGAGATCTAGCGGAGGAAGGTAGCGACCTCGGCGGCGGCTTCGGCGGTGGTAACAACAACAGTGCCGGAATGGGCTCATTCTCCGTCCGGACTGCGCATGGGAGGAAGGGCTCATCAGCCGGAAAAGCAACGCAGCAAGACGACGACCCGAGCCCGGTGTTGAGCGACCCGGTTGCATCTGACGACAACAACATCGCAAATAGGGGGCGGAGCCAGCCGGGGGGCGGAGCTGCAGCTGGGAGGAGGGAATCTGTTGGGTGGTCAGGGAAAGATACTCGTCGTCCAGCGGAGACACGGGGGCTCACAGGGGCTGCTGTAATCCATGCACTGCTTTCAGCAGCGGCTGCCGCAACCACCACCACCAGTGCGAACGGAGCTCCCGATGAGGCAGGAGAGGAACAGGGAGGGGGACTGGGACGTATGGCATCAGCAGGCAATAGCAACAGTAGTAGCAGAGGTGGCGCTACTAAAGACACAACAGCCATCGATTTGCTCATCCTCGACTGCCTGGGTGGAAGCAATTGCTGGGAGATCATACGGGATCTGTACCACAGTGACTTTCGTGTGCTCGACCAAGTGCATGCCCTGCTGCTTGTGAATCTACCATCGGTGCCGTGGGCGCAGCGGGAGGTCCTGTACGAGATGTACGAGCTGCTGTACCAGATCCATGGCTTTGTGGGGTTCGCACATGGATGGTCACAGCCAGCAGCACGTCAGCCATGGAGAAACGGATTGGTGTTGCAGTCCGATAGGGCGGTTAGTTCCGTTGGGTCACATGCCAGCGTCAGATATAACCGCACGCGGCGGCCCACTACTGAGGCGGTGGGTGGTGGCGATGATGATGATGATGACTGCCATGCCGTGGTGCTTCGGGGGGGTTTGACACTGGGGTTCCTCAAGCCGGGGGGTGTTGGTACAGCAGCGACAGTGGCCTAGATGGTGCTGCGGTCGCGCCTACTACTACAGCAAAACATGCTCGTACCATTTATAACAGCCATCAAACGTCTGTTCGTCAATCCCTCGTGGTGCCCTCTGGCTATCTGAGGATGGATGGTGCACGAGGGCAACTTTGCATGTGTGTGTGTGCTTTGTACGTGTGTGTGCTTGTGCTTGTGCGGTGTGCGTGCTTGCTTGCGAGGGGAAGAGATCGACAGTCTGATGTTGTAACAAGGACAAACAACATTGAAGGCCCCGCACTAGCAACTACCCGCACTACCTGTCGTCCTAATAGCCGGCTCGCGTGCAGGCAGCCGAATTCCCAATCATGACATCTACCTATGTAGATGTGCAGCTCGCAAGGAAAGAGCGAGGTTGCTAGTGAGCTTACCAGTATGTACGTACAAAAGCTTACTTCGTAGTTCGTAGTTCGTAGTTCATAGTACACTTGGATTAGCTGGTAAGTTTTGCTCCTTGCTTCTCCTTTTACGACATAGACTAGAAAAAGGGTGCCGTAACGTGCAAAATAGCAGTTACATATCTCATCTCTGGACATTTCTCTTTAAAGGGGTTCAGGTAGCTATTCTAAAGACTTTCCTTTTTACGACGTCGTGCATTAGTACGGGTCGTACACTGGATGGCTGCATCTTCGCTGGTGTATCGCATCCGGTGTCTTTCGACACCACCTTGACTGGTTGTGATAAAAGATGAACGTTGCAGGTTCAAACGGATTCTGTCTGAAAGCACATTCACGCACACCTACCACCTACCCTTATTCCATCATTAGTACTTGAGCAGCACGCAATATGATGTGTATTTGTGTGAATTGCAAACCTTGCTGCTGTTTATTACAACTCAAACCTAGTTCCTTATCTATCGGATATATAAATAGCCGCAGGCTTGCCTGTTTAGGCGCACTGGCTTGCTTAAGCCTTAAGTGAACCTCATCATCATTGGGCTGCTTTTTTTCTACCTAGTTCCCGTACACATTGTACACGTACATGGCTGGCGTCATAACATCAAGAACGCCGCAATGTGCATCATTCACTAGCACTCGGAATATTCTGATGGATGGATGGGGGACGTTCCATATGCATTTCTTCACACCCCCAAGGCGCGAGTGGTCACGTACGTGCGTGGCCATGGATGCGTAATAGATTTACTTGGAAGCAGGAAGAAACAGCAGCAGCCAGAGAGAGATGCAGCAACCGCGGCGGCATCTGCGCTGTTGTGGGTGATGAGAAGATGAGGTCGATGATCTTGCTGCATCATCGTGGTGAGCGCGGCGCTGGCTGCCGGCTGGAGGAGATGGCCCGGCGGGTATCCTTGAGCGATCAACGTACGTATGTCAGAACCCAAGACATTAAAAATTATTCATCTGCTGTTATCCACTTTGTGCAAGACTATTGGATTCTGTGTCCTCATCAAGCAGCTCGCCCTCCTTTTTTTTCGCAACAGAGCGTCTCGGCTTCGGGGTCCACTGTAACAATCGCATTCTCGGCTTTCGGTACGTCTCTAAGCATCGATAACGACGACAACGGCACAAAAGTATCTCGTTTGTTTGCTTGTACGTCTTATTCGCAATAAGGAATTCTGGCCAAAGTTGTCAGATCGCCGTGTCTCACTAACAGGACTACAGTGGAGCCCTGGAGATCCGTGGGGGATGCCCCAAGGTGCCGCACGGTGCGGGGACAATTCCTCCTATCGTTTTCCGTTTTCAGTTTTCAGTTGCAACATCAGCACCTGCTGACGGCTCACGGCCGAGACCCCACCTGTATACGTGGTTGCATCTGTGCATGCAAAATGCAATAAACTCTTCTACCATAATGGATTGGCTGTATGCAACGGGGATGCGTGCATCCGCGGCAGCGAGCCAATTGCTCGTCTGTTCGTACATGAGTCACATGGTACTTCTCAGAGACGTTCGCCGAATCCGATCAACTAAAACAGCAGTACTTCAATTCTATTGTCCAGAATCTTTTTACGTGTATTCGCAAAGCTACAACTCAGTTATATCAATAAGCTCCCTGGCATTTGGCTCGAAAGAATAGTCTTGAGCTAAGGAAACGCCTTGCTAAGGATTTTGGGTTGCGGAAAGACTGCAAGGTATGATTTTATCCCATGGAGTCATATTCTTGTTTCGTATTGGTATCGGCGCAAGTTGGAGAATACCTTGTTCGCTCGGGTTTGGTCGGGCATCTCTCCGTTAATGCCAGGCTTTAATAACTGTAGGATGACACCTATGGAGGTCGTCATGCCTACGACCTCTCTTATCGCGGAGGATGTTGTTGGGACGGACAACGCCGGCGTGGAGTCCACGGCTGACGGCGGGGATTTCCCTGCCCTGGCCACACAAACCTCTGTCCCGAGGTCATGCCGCAGCGACGTTGGAAGGAGCAGCGTGAGTAATGTCCCCGGCTCACAAACTCGATTTGGCGGAGTGACCATCTTCTTGCTCTTTGATTGTTTCGTACAGCGGGTCGGGTCTAGCGCTTCTGTATTACATGGAGAAAATGCTGTGAGGGATGATGCAGGCCATCTTGGATAATTGCTTTGTCGCTGTGCAGCAGCTTAAATTTTGTTTGCCGGCAAGATGTTGGAGCACATCGTGTCGCATCTGGAGGTGACAAAGACAGCTAGACGTGGGATTTAGTGACTGCAAAATTAGAACAGTGCCGTTGGACTAACTTCTGGAAGACATCCACAGGTGCTTGTGCGACCCGCTTGCTTTTTAACCGTCTGTTCGCGCATCCTCTGGCGGTGCGTGTTATCAATCGTTTCATAGGGTCTCGTTGAAAGGGTAACTGCATCCCTCCTTCCTGGCCCACGCAACAACCTCTGCCTCTCCCTCGCGGGGAATTGTGTTATCCACACCTTTCTCTTATGCACAGTTTCCCACCATGCGTCCACGAACACCCCAATAACTTTCCCCTCCACATTCTCCCCGCCATCTTTCCAATTTCCACCATTTCTACAAATTTTCACAGCTGGGTCACCATTCAAGCGGCACACTGCTCGATCCCAAGCTTGAAGCAGACGTCAAAGCTGCGTTGGCCACTGCCGTCCAGCCCTCCGTTGACCGCGGCCCGGCAGCCGCTGGTTCCGGAGCAACAACTGCAGTCACACCCGGCGTCAACGGCGGTTCCGCAGCCCTCGTCTCCAACGATGCGTCCATGGCCCTTCTGTCCAGCTGGCAGTTCCGTGTCACCGGCAACGGGGCGGTCGCGCGAGTGCTGATGGATTTCGGCTGCGAGCACATCAAGTCCGGCGGTCCCCGTGGCATCCAGGAGGTGGCTCTTCGCCACATCCTGCGCAACGACATCGATAGCGACAGCATCTACTGCATCGATTTGGCGGCACCCTTCCGCTTGTTCAAGGTGCGTTCATTCAAGACTTTCAAGATCTGGTTGCCGCCACCCAGATGGCTGACCCAGATGGCGCGGTCCGCTGCGTCGGAATGATAAAATGTGGCCGCTGCCCACGGCCACTAAGTGGGCCCTGTCCTGTCCTGTCTTGTCCTGTTCTGTCAGTTTTTTGAGGTTGTGGCTGTAAGATTGTAGCACTCACAACCCGTGGCTTCTATGGCTACGTACCGGGAATTGTGGCTGGTGGTGCGATATATAACAGTGGGGTAGTGGAGGGATGGGAGATGGCCTGATTGGCCTTAACTGGTGAAGGGTGAAGGGCGAAGTGCGAAGAGGAGAGCATGGTGGTTGCAGCTTGTGTGGGGGCTGGGTTGGCAGGAAGTTACTTCCTTCTAGGGGGCCACCGTGACCTTGGTGTTGGTGTGGATCCTGTAATGTGGGGGTTCAAGTAAAGTAGAATATTTTTGCGTAGTGGTCGCGATGTCGGTCACAGGGGGCCGCTGACACTCGTGAGTGTCTGTTGGTTCAGTTGTGGCTTGTGGGTACACCCGTGGTCGAGTGGATGTGCACACATTGCCCTGTCTGCTTCTTCATATTCACCTATTCCGTTTTTCTTCTTCTTCTTCTTTCTTCTTCTTTCCCTTTGGCCTGCCTCGGTGCAAGCAAGTTAAAAGCAATGATTTCTCATCCCATCCAATATTACCCTGCTAAAATGTCGAAGCCCAGGTGGCCTCAGAAGGGCTATAGACAAAACCAGCCCCAACCCCTCGCTTTGCACGACCGAGATGCTGCCGTGCGTGCGCGCCCTCCCCGTCACCCCCCTTAGCTCCTTAGCCCGCCGTACAACCACCCCATGTACCGCTGTATCCGCTATGTTGTAGGCCTGGCGCGCCGCCATGCCGCGCGTGTTGCCGTACTACGCAGTCAAGTGCTACCCCGAGCCGGCGATCCTCAAGCTGCTCATGGCTCTTGGAGCGGGCTTCGACTGCGCGTCCAAGGGCGAGCTGGACATGATGCTGCGCATGGGGGCATCCCCAGCCCGCATCATCTTTGCTCACCCGTGCAAGCGCAGCTGCGACTTCCGCTTTGCTCGCGAGCACGGCATCCAGTACACAACGGTGCGCGCGTCTGGGGCAGTTTCTTGTTTTTAACTGAGACAGAGGGAGGAGGCTGTGGAGGGTTCTCCCGGGGTATTTTTGTGAATTTTTCACATGTGCGTCATTCATGCCCACTGCCCACACCTCTTACCCCCACACGCGAACCCATTTGCGCTTGATTTCTTATGAACCCCGCGCAGTTTGACACGGTTTCGGAGCTTCACAAGATAGCGGAGATGGACCCGGAGTTTAAGCTGGTGCTGCGCATCCGCGCCGACGACCCTGGAGCGCGTGTGCCGCTGGGCCTGAAGTATGGCGCCGAGGTTTCGGAGGCGCCAGCGCTGCTGCGGGCGGCACGGGAGCTGGCCCTGGAGTGCTGCGGTGTCAGCTTCCACGTCGGCAGTGCTGCGAAGAACCTGGCGACTTTCACAAACGCCATTGAGAACGCGCGCAAGGTGGGACTCTTGGGTGCCGTTGAGTTCCGTTGAGTTCCGTTGGGTTCCGTTGGGTGCCGTTGAGTTCTGTTGGGTTCCGTTGAGTTCCGTTGGGTTCCATTGACTTCTCTTGGGTTCCGTTGGGTCCCGTTGAGTTCGTTGGGTTCGATTGACTTCTGCTGGGTTCTGTTGAGTTCCATTGACTTCTCTTGGGTTCCGTTGGGTCCCGTTGAGTTCGTTGGGTTCCATTGCGTTCCGTTCAGAGCAGTTCAGACGGGAACATTTTAAAATGCCATGTTTGCTGCAGCTGAGTTAGCGAAGGGACTCGAGCCCGGGATGTACACACCTGTTGGGAAGCGTGTCCTAGGAAGCATGTGTATGGAAAAAATGTTGCGAGGTGTTTTCCGTTGAATTTCTTCGGCTGGGTTGTTGTTGTTTTGGTGGTGGTGGTGGTGGTGGTGGTGATGGTGGTGGTGGTGAGGGCACGGGAGAGGCCACGTTTGCATCCATTGTCTGTGCGTCTGTGCGTTGATCCCGCATGATCCCGCACACACTTTGCGCCCGCCAGCCTGCCCGCGTATCCTATTGAGAGCCCGCCAAATACACGCGAAAGCGAATTCGGTCTCGACGCCGGCCCTCGTTTTCCAACAGTGGTTCTTCTTAGGGACTCTCGTGCGTCTCACGTGAGACAGAGACAGAGAAGGGGGGAAGGAGGGGGGAAGAGGGACCGAAAGTATAGATACATTCACTCTCCGGGAAACTCGGTAATAAACCCTGTTGCGCTCTCTGACCCCGTTTCCACCCCCCCCTCCCTCCTTGGGGGATCTTTCCTTGGCAGCAATGTCATTCGCTCGCAGTTCGTCTTTCCACCCCCTGTTGTTTTCTCGCCCTTGGCCTCATTCCCGCTCTTTTTTTCGCGCAACCTCTTCCCCGCTTGCAGGTCTTTGACGAGGCAGCGTCCCTAGGCTATCGAATGGACCTGTTGGACATCGGCGGCGGCTTCACAGGTCACTTTGATGAGATGGGTAACGTCATGTTTGGTGAGATTGCCAACACCATCAACGCCGCGCTGGCGAAGTACTTCCCCCCCGGAGGCGATTTGGGTGACGTCCGCGTCATTGCGGAGCCTGGGCGCTACTTTGCGGAGACAAGCTCGACGCTGCTGACGCCCGTGATTGGCCAACGCGACCGCGTGGCTAAAGACGGCAGCATCCACAAGGACTACTGGCTGACCGACGGACTGTACGGCAGCTTCAACTGGTGGGTCGGGTCGCGTTGGAGAGGCGCGATGGTGGATGGTGGTGGTATTAGTGGTGGGCCGCGGGGTGGTAAAATAAACCGATGTTTTATTGGCGAGAGGAGGAAAGCCGCGGAACAGAAGACAGGAGCTCTCTTTACAAAGCGGGTAAAACTGAAGGGATAGGGGTAGGGTAGGGGGGGCCGTGCTATTGTGTTTCATGGCATCGTTGTCTTATGTCCGCGTCGTGTCGTGTCGTGCATTTGAGGGATTGCATAGAGGGGAGGGGGGGTTTTAGAGAGCGCGTGGTGAAGGGGGGAGGGAAGGGGGAAAAGTCGGGCGTGATTTCTTCACATTGATGCTCGCAATGGCGTTCGGCATTTCAGCTCTCCAAATCAGCATAAGACATTCACGAGGTAGCTTGCAGCGCTGGCCCCCTAGGGAGGGAAAGAGAGATTTGTAAAAGTAAACCGCCATGCCGAGGGAAAGCCATGCAGAGCGCAGATGGGTTTTAGGGGAAACGGGGTGGGGAGCTTGCCGTGCCCGTGCCCTGCTCATAACCCTGCGCATTCCAGCAGGGGAATCTTCCATCTTTCCACTTGCGACCTCTTCGTCCGCCCCACTTTAGTCCGCCCCTCTTTCGTCCGCCCCACTTTAGTCCGCCCCTCTTTCGTCCGCCCCTCTTTCGTCCGCCCCTCTTTAGTCCGCCCCTCTTTAGTCCGCCCCTCTTTAGTCCGCCCCTCTTTAGTCCGCTCCACGTCCATGTATCACCACTTAGAGGGTGCCTGGACAAACCAACACCCACCCACCCCGCACACATACACATACGCATTGAACCGCTTCCCCCAACCTCCCACCACTCCCATACCTCTCCCGCGCAGCATCGTGTACGACGGTCAAAACCCTGAGTTCCGTGTCATACGCTCCCCGATCCAACCGGAGCCCATCGACACCCGCAGCTACGTCTCGACCTTGTGGGGGCCTACCTGCGATTCCGCGGACGTCGTGTACAAGGATGTGGCGCTGCCGGCACTTCGCAACGGCGATTGGCTGTTGTGGCCCAATGCTGGCGCCTACACAGTAGCGGGCGCCTGTGACTTCAACGGCATCGAGTTCACGCACCCTTGCAAAGTGTACGTGTGGTCGGATAGCGTCGTGGATCCACCTGAGGATCGAGAGGAGGCGCAGGAGCAGCCGCAGCCGCAGCAGACAGACGCGGAGTGAGGACGCGGGGAGTGAGGACGCGGGCTATAAAAAAGGTTGGTCTGACGGTCTGGTAATGTTTTCTTGTGACAGACGCAGAAAAGAGTGGGCGCAGCAACGACTGTGTTGTTGGAGGGCGGGCGAGGGGTAAGGAGGGGGATGAAGGCGATGAAGAGCGAGAGCAGCAACGACGTCTATATGTGTGTGTATGTATGTATGTATGTATGTATTTATGTATGTATGATGGTGCGTGAGCGTGCTCTGCGCTGTGCATTTGGCGGCGGTGCCAGTTGGTGAAGTGTGTCGGTGTGATGTCGGTTGCAATTTGGATGATTGATCGTAGTAGTACATATGCGTGCGTAGTACATATGTACTACAAAATGGAACCAGGTTTAGATCTTGTATGGCTATGGGGAGGCAGGTGTATCGCATTACTACTAGTCTCCCGGGTCTTTTGACTTCGCTTGAGGGTCATATGATATATACAACAACACGGTGCCTACAGAATCAGCAGCAGCAGCAGCAGCAGCAGCAGCGACGGTGCAACAGTAGTTATGACGGTTTGTTTTCGGGAAAGGGCCGCTCATAATTTGTCTGAGAGACGGGCGCCAAGGCCCCTTCATTGTCCCGGATGCAAGGGCTCTCCAAACGGCTTCACGGAGAAGGCATTCCCGGCCCATAATGCGTGCTGAAACGTTTGGGTGTGCGTTTGGCAAGCTGGCCTGGCTGGGACGCCTTTGACACGAGAGAAGCCCAGCGAGGGGCTTGGATTCACAGAGATAACGCCGTACGTTGGTATGTATGTACGGCAGGGCTGTACACGTCGAGTCAAAATGAGTCGAGTGGTATTTTGAGCTTTACGCGTCCATTGTCATGTTCATGGTGGAAACGTTGAAGCTTTTTTTGTTTAAAGATGCGAAAGGGTATAAAATTATTTGGTAAAAATGTGCTTTGTGCAGCATGACTAGGTGTTCACCATTTCTCATGTACGCACGCACCCGCCGGTCTTTCACGCCGGTTACGTCGGCGGTACAAAATGAGCGCGCGCTCGCGTGTTCCAATTTTCACGGTTCTAAATAATATATTGTTTGGAACGTCGTCCTCTGTCAGATACACACATATGTTTTCCAACGAACTGAATGCCTCCCTCCAACGAGCTTTTGCGCGAACTCTTACGTGAACGTATTGTTGGTGTGTTACTCTCGTTTTTTGGGGACACGCGTGACGTTTTCATTCGCATGTCACTTGCTCTAGTTCCGCAGCTTTCAGGTCCTCTCCGGTCTGAGGTCTTTTATGGGGCTGTGGGCCTGCGTGTTATTCCCACGATGGCGGTCACTCCCCGGGGGGTCACTCGTCGGCCTCCGCCGGTTGGTTTCACTGCTTCCTTAACATCTTTGCCGCATCAGCAGTCTTTCCTTGGCATCAACTGGCTAGCACTCGCTCGTGGTTGGTCTTCCCCCCCGTCTTCCCCCTGCTGATGCAAAGATGCAGACTTTGGCCCGGTGTACTCCGGGGGCGACGGGGTAGAGGTAGAGGATTTGTTCGTTTCGCGAGTGTTGCGGTGTTGTAAGCGGTATGCGGGTGCTAGGGGGGGCAGTACATGCTCTGTATTGACGGTACATCGGTGTAGAACAGAGACGCCTAAGAAGCATGATCAGGCTGGGAGGGAGACGTGCGCTGTGCGCTGTATCTGTATGGATTGCTTCCTGTGTGCTGGCATGTCGTAGCCCTCTATAGAGGAGATTACAACGCAAAATGCAGCGCAAGGTGCTGCGCAAGGTGCAAGTATGCGTGCGTGTGCATGCGCTAGGGTGAGAGCAGGGCGGCGGGGGTGGCTTTGTGGGTTTAATCATGTGGAAATGGTTTCTCAGTGTTTCGGTGCTGGCAAATTTTGCTTTGCGGGGTATATGCTACAGCACCGACCATGGCGGCATGGCCTCGGCGGTTAGTATTAGTTGATGACGGAGATGATGAGAGGCTGTACGACATCAGCTGGAAGGATGTACTTGCACCCCATGTGCATGTAGCAGCTGGAAGCACTTCCTAATGGGTTGTTGTGCCGGGGCTTTGTATCTTTCGGGGTTTGTATCTTTTCAGTGGTTTTCGAAGAAAAGAGTGGAACTTTATTAGAAGCGAGGCAGTCCTTAGGATCGACGTGCATACGCATCCCCCCCCATGTGTCGATGGCCTTGACGGCGGAGGCATCGCATAATGTTATGTGCTGGCTGCTTTTGAGGTATCGCGGCGGAGTGCCATTAGTCTGAAGTCAGGAAAGGGACTCAGTTTTTGGGTACCGGCGTCAGATGCTCGCCAGCTGCATCCCCTGTGCACACAACCCGCCAAGCGCTGCTGCGCAGGAAGGGGTCCTTTCCTTACTTAAAAAAGCAACAGGTTGTCGCAACTGCGCCAACATTTGCGTTGTTCATTATCTGCTCGGGGATTTTGCAACATATTGCCTGCCTGCGTGCCTGCCTGTCTGCAGAGAACCACCCGGCGGGCGAATGTGTTTTATTTTCCGTGTTATGTTGGATGTGCTGTGGTTTTTGGGTTTCTTTTCGTGTCGGTGAAATTAAGAGCGGCTTGTTTTTTCGAAGGGTGAGCTAGCCTTTGCTAACGTGCGCTGTATGGCAAAACATGCACGTGTAGTTTTGCGATATTATATACATATATAATTCTTTTCCGAGGTTGCTCTATTGAACTTACTCGAGTAGACGTGGACGTGCTCGCCATGACATGTTCGCTACATTTTGTTGAGATAACGATCCAGTAAAGAGGTTGCCTGTTTTCGTTTTTTTTGTCCTCCGCGGAAACAATGCCGTCGTGCAGCACCCACAGCTGGTCAGCAGCTAGATAGCTTAATCATAATGCCGAAAACCTACAGAGGGCGGATACTTTTTGGGGGCAGGGCTTTTGTGTCTGCTGTGCGGTGGGTAAACAGAATGACCGTTAGGTGTGCTGTACCCGCGTCGTCTTTAACCGAACGGTAATTTAGTTAGCGAGTCTGGAGTTGCAGGTTCACGGTCCAGGTCTGGGGGAACGCGTGCTTTGCAAAGTGGCTGGGGCAATGATCCAATGATCCAAACTTTCCAAAGGTCCTCAAGATATCTGCTTGTGTGATTTTGTTCATAGACTTCTTTTTAACAGGGAGCACTGGACATTAGGATGGCATGGGAAGCTAACGGAGTTGACCTCTTTTGTACGGAATTGGCCCCCTAGGCGCTCAGAAGATTCACAAGCGTGTGTGATCAGTGTCATACACGCCATGCGTAACGGGTTTTGCTTTGTTATGCCGTCAATATTTTTTTGGTACTGTGCAGCAGCTCTGCGGCAATAGCGGCTGCGGGGGGAAGCCGCAGCACCAACAATTTTACCAACAATATAGATCAACCCCACCCTCTTGTCACGTATATCCCCCTTCTTGCCCGTACAATAGTAAAACGGCCCCTTCCTACAAATGGATGTTGTGAGCAGGGCACGCGCATGCGTGTATAAACACACACATTCACACACATACGCAGCAACATTTCCTTTGCGATTACAGCCAAGAATGATGTACGGCAACGGATCCATCCGAAGGTAAAATATTTCGACCAAAAGCACATCGACACATGGCAGTACGTATGCCAGGAAAAATATTGAATTAATTTCAAAGTATGAGAACAAGCTCAACTCCAGTTTAAAACCGTCAAAACCACCACCACGATAACCAGCATCGCTACTACCCAAGCTCAGCTATATAATAACCCATCAACAATTACAAAGCCGGTAACTCGACAACACGCAGACAGGCAGGTCATAAGCGCTCACTCCCGAGGGCCCAAAGGAAAACTGCATCTCACAAAATTAAATTTATCCGTGTGAAATCCAAATCCACTAACACTGTTAAGAACACTCATAGCATAGAAATATTTTAATGACACACACGCATACACAAACATATACGCAAATACACACATACATACACATACACACACACACACTCGCATGCAACGTGCACAGTCTCCGGGTCAAAACGGTCCTGAGCAGAAAGGCACGCAGGGGCTACCCAGGGGCTCCCCTTGCGGGCCCCCCTAGGTGGAGGCTTCACCGCGCTAGGTCAGTCGGAGGAGAATGACCCCTCCCCTGTCCCCTGTCAGGCGCCGTCGTTCCGTTGTTAAGGCTGTCAGGAAGAAGAGGTTAAGCTAAATACTGATTGCGTTTCTTGGTGCCCAGACGGAACGGAACCGACCATATACCATCGTACGATGTGAGTACTTTACTAGCTTCACAGCTGCGCGTGTTTCACACACATGTGCCGTACATCACGAGGAACACGAAAGGTAAAACAAACCCCTCTCCCCTCTTCTCCCCCTCTTTCCCTTGATGCCCTCTCCTCCTCCTCCTCCTCGGCGCTCCCTAAGACCATTGGAATCTCCGCCAAAGTCCGACCCCCGATTCGCACCCCACCGTTTCTTCCTGACAGACAGAGACCGCCACACACGGGGCACATAAGTGTCGTTGAAAGGTTCCAGGATCGATTCCGACAAGCAGAGGTCTTGTCCGCACACGGGTCTACAGGAAGAGTAAGACAAAAGGATGAATGTGCTTCGAAACCTCGGACCCGGACCCGCAGCCTCGAACCGGCGTCTCTGTCGGCGGTGCGATACAAGAGAGCCATCACCGCCGGAGAGACCCCCAAGGCGGCCTCTCCACCGCGGGGGCTCGCATGCTGCATGGACCTTACCCCCCCACACACCACCTGTGAGTGTGCGAGAGCCCAAAAGAAACAGTACCCGTCGCAGTCCCGCGGCCCTCCTCAGCCGACTGGATGAGCTGACAGGCCACATCGGCGGCTGACAGCTGCGGCTGACTGAGTGAGTGAGTGACGGACGGACGGACGGACTGACAGGCTGACTGGCTGACTGGCAGATGGCAGTTTGTTTCCCCTGAAATGAATAACACCCATTACACATTCCCACGTGCGCCGTCGCCGCCGCCGCCTTCCCCGGCCCCGCCGCCGCCGCCGCCGCCGCCGAGCAGCTTGAGCGTCGTGGTGTAGCCCAGGAAGCTCGCGCCGTCCATCATGAAGGCCCGCACCAGGGTGGGGGCCACGCCGCGGAAAAAGGCGCGTGCACCAGCCTCGCGATACATCTGCAGACAGACAGACAAACAGACAGACACACAGTCGCACGAATCGAATGATACATTATACATGCACACATACATAAAGTGAGAATAAAAATCCCAAATAGAAAACATAAAAGGGTTTAAACGACAAAAAGTACGACTCATGTACGAAAGGCATTGGACGATAAGCTCTCCCTATTCCCACACCCCACGCACGGGCCCTCCCCACTCTCCGTCCATCGTCCCATCTGAAAACCCAACACGGCATGTATAAGCCACACTCCGCCCGCCACACCCGCCACACCAGCCTCCAGCACGAGTACCAGCCTCTCCCCCCCACACACACAAACCCCTTTACATCCTTTACTTCCATTGTTCCTCTTACTTGCCTCTTTTGCAAAATGCCGCCAGGTCTTCCCTTTGCTGTCTGTCGCAGTGACTGCCTGGACACGTGTTTTGAGCACATCCAGCGGGTAGATGGGCAGCCAGGCGATCACTCCAGCCAGCCCGCCAGCAACCACCTGCCCCTCTCGCCGGGCGACGAGAGCCCAGGGGGCCCAGGGAAGGGGGCACATGGGGCGCGCACAGAGAGGGCCGGAGGATGTTGTGTTGAGAGAACAGGGCAGCAGGAAGAAACCGTAGCAGTAGCATACCGGTAGCGATGGTAGCAGTAGCAAAAGCACACTACGACTGACCTACTAGCGACTGACCCATGGGTCCATCTACATCAAGTCCTCCCTCTAAAACCCCTAAAAACCCCTTCCCGGGTAACAGCAACCCCCGTCTCTTCCCCCCCGTCTCTTCCCCCCCCTTTTCTCTTTCCCCTCCTACTCCCGTACCTGTGTCCCCGGTGGCGCTGCCTCCGGATGTAACCCGGGGGACAGGGCGGCAGCAATGTCGTGGTAGAGCCAGAAGTACATGGCGTACGACGGCACGTCACGAACCACCGTCAACGTAAATCCCCGGTAGAGACCTGGAGGTGGGTAGTTAGGTAGTTGGGTGGTTAAGGTGGTTAAATACGTGTGCGCCGGGTAGGCGTAGGTGTACGGGTGTACGGGTGCGTCCTTAAGAACTGCGCCGTGTGAAGGACGTGTGGGTTTGCGAGTGGTGTGCGTACGGCAGTGTGTGTGGAGAAGATAACCACCGCCGCCTTCTTCCGTACGGTGCAAGCCAAAGTGCAGTGAGGGCCCTCCGGGGTGAAGTGCAGGGAGAGGGAGGGGTTTACCAGTTCCTGCCGCGTGCTGAGGCTCCCTCCCCCCCCCAACACACACACACACACACACATACATACCGGGCCCGCGTGAGGTGCAGCATTACGACACCATTACCGCCCTCTTTCACTGTGAGTCCATCCATCCATCCATCCATCCATCCATCCACCCACCCACCAATCCATCCATCCATCCATCCATCCATCCATACACGCAACGCACTCGCCCATCCAGCATCCACACAATCCCACCACCCTGTGCGCACCCGCACCAACCCAGGGCCCACCCCCTCGTTGCTTGCCTCCCCTAAAACCTGTTGACCCACCTGTTACACCACCACCCCTTCTTGCAATCCATCCACTAGCCCCCGCCCCCCTCCGCCAACAGAGGGAAACCCGCCCGGTCGCCTCTGTCTTTAAAACCCGCTAAAACCCGCGAACCCCCGCTAACCCCCTTGCCCCCCACTCACCCAAACCCCCCCATACCATCACCGCGGGTGAACCCACCCACCCACCCACCCGCGACTCCGTCCTGTCGGAGGACTTGTGCCGCCAGAGCTGCCGGGTTCCGGTACCCCGCCGACCCAGGAGTCGCTGTCTGCAACTGGGCCCTCAGTTTCAGCAGCTCCACCGGCGACCAAAGGAAGACCTGGATTGGTGGGGAGGGGAAGAGGGACGTGGGAGTACGACGAAAGCAAAACACACACACGGGGACGGGGACGGGGACGTGGGGGAGGTGGCTCATGGAGAAACGATTCTGAAGAGTCGTGAGGGGGGGAAGGGGGGAAAGACGAACCACGTGAACGAGTGAAGCTGCTGCTGACCCAGGGCAAGAGTGTACCGGACGTAGAACTGACCGAAAGGCGTCCTTGTGGGGGGGAAAGGGGGACGGGGAGGTGACGCGAATGCGAGCGGGAACGGCGGACGGGGTAATCGGGAGAGAGATCAGATCAGGGGCGAGCGGAGGAGAGGCTCGCTCAGCTGCGAAAGCAACGGAAGGACCGAAAGCTCAAACGCGCTTGGGAGCCGGGCCGGGGCCGGGGCCACAAAAGCGGTTTCCTCACTCCCAGGGCCCAAGGCCGCTCAGTCGCCCAGGCGCCCAGGTTGAGATTGGAGAGAGCTTAAGCCTACTTACTAGGCGGGTGAGCATGAAACTAAAGAATTCCACGACCGCATCACCAAATCATCTTCATGGCCGGGATGCCCTTCCGTTCTCGAGCGCGCACGTGCCCACTTCCTCCCCCCCTCTCCTCCCGGGCATCCTGTGAGAGCGCACACACACATACACACACATCCCCGCTCTGCAGTACCCGCCCACCCGCACTAACCCTCTCACCCGCGTGCCCCCTCCGTCCCAAAACACACACGCACACGCACACATACACACGCACACGCACCTGGGCAAAACCCGCCACGCTCCCCGCCACGAAGCCGTGCCAAGGAGTGGGGAGAGTACCGGCACGCTGCTGTCCCCGCTGAGGGCCCTGCCCCTCTCCTTGCTGGTGCTGGGGCTGGTGGGGCTGGTGGGGCTGGTGGGGCTGGTGCTGGTGCTGTGCCGTTTGGCATCGTCGCTGGTCGCTGCCGCTGCCCTCCACCCTCCCGTCACCACCTCCCCTCACCCCGCCATCTCCCCCGCCGCCGCCATCACCGCAGCCCTCAGCACCATGCATATGACTGTAGTTAAGGCTGCTGCTGCTGCTACTAATGCCGTTATAGCATGCCGCCGTACCTTGTCCGGTGGCGGAAAACGCGTCGGGGTGCACATGTGAAGGCCGCGGCGTTACCGCCGCCGCCGCCGCTGCCTCCGCCGCCGGTGCCTCCGCCGCCGCTGCCTCCTCCGCCGCCGCCAGGTCCGCCTCCGCCGGCTGCGGGGGCCCCCTCCCTAGCCATGATACCGCCCAGGTCAGAATCTGCATGGACACGCTGGGGGAGGCGTGTACCGCCTCCATCTGTTGGTCTTGGAGGTGATGATGGTGGTGAAGATGGAGCTGGTGCAGGGCTTGTGGTGGTGCTGGTGCTGGTAGTGGTGATGGTGGTGATGTGTGCCCGCTCAGGGTGGAGCGGCTGGGGCTTCGAGAGGTGGTGGTGCTGGCGGTGGTGGTGGTGCTGGCGGTGGTGCTGGCGGCGGTGTGTATCTGGGGGTAAGAGTGCTGGTGGTGGTGGTGGTGGTGGTGGTGCTGCTGCTGCTGCTGTGGTGGTGGTGATGGAGTTGGTGGGTTTTCCATCGCCATTTGCCGTAATGTCCATCCGTATGCCTGAAAGGTGGAAGGGAGGGTGAGCTGCGATTGCGCCGTTCTGTTCCAAAGCGGGACTGGACTGGACTCGGACCCTCCCTCCCTGGACTGGACTGGACTGGACTGGACTGGACTGCCGTAAGAAATTCAGCAAGTCCAGCAAGGAATGCTTACCTGGAAGAGAATCGCTGACTGAACGGAAGCGAAGAGAAGCGGGTAGGTTAGTCCCTTGAAGGGCGACATGACACCCTCCTGGCGGACCATCGCGACGAGGACGCCGAGTGCATTCCCGCTGGGGCCTCGGCTTTGGGCAGCTTGCTGGATTCGTACGCGCACTGTATCAAGTGGCTGGGATACCGTAATCGCAAAAGCGCCGGCGACCGCCCCTGATGTAATCGACGGGGTTGACGATGGAAACGTGTTAAAATCGGCTGCCATCCACAAGCGCCCTAAGACAGGGAATTATTATACCTGATATAAAGTCTCTCAAAGCTGGGTTTAGGTGAAAGGTCTCCGTCGACCAGTCCATCATGGCTGACGTGAGATGATAATCTGTGTTTCGAAATAGAAGCTAATTATAACAAGAGCATGTTCGATGCGGGTACTTGTCATGAAAACGGTGCGAAGCAAGGCATTGATGAACTCCTCAGGATGACGGTTTGATGGTTACGGCCTCTATCCCAGTAACAAAACAAGCTGTACGCTTACGTTCCGAAAGCTTCATTTTACGAAGGCAATCATTATACGTGCTTTTCAGACACTTACGTTGGGATCACTTACCTTCGAGTCTAGGACCCTACCCGTTGCGTGAAATTGCAGGAGTTATTCGGTCCCTTTATTCCAAACGAAGATGCGCAAATTCATATGCAATATCCAGTTAAAATTTGTGTTTACTTGGCATACAGCCTCCGCAAGGCAGTGTCATGCATGTCTCTCCGTGGCTGAACACCTTTGACATGCATGCCTGAGTTAAGAAATGCGATTAGACCAACAACTGATGCTCTCCTTGCACATGGACACCTTACACATGCTGTAGTTCATAAGGCAGCCTCGATGGTCAGCCCGCCGAGCGTTCAACTGGCACACAGATATGCATAGCTGCCCGCGGAACACCACCTACAGTCTGTGAAGTAGTCAAATATGGCAACCGCACTGCCCTCGGTGCATCGGAGCTCCTTGTTCGCAAGCAATCCTGTTGGACTGCCTGCCTACCCAGGTGTGCCTCAACGCCTTTTCTCTGAGTCATAATCCCATATAGCAAACATTTCCATACATCCCCATAATTATAAATCCTACAACATCATTCAACTGCCCGAATAATCTCCCTCCCGGAAGTTCCTTGCCGCTATCCTCCTTTGCAGCAGCACCTCGCAGCAGAGCATCCGCAGCGACCGCAGCCAGCACCCGCTAACCCTTTACCCATCTACGACCCAATTTCCACCACCATCATCAGGATCAGGATCAGAGCATCACTGCTCATCAAACCCTCAGCAACCAAGCAACGCACCACATCCGCCACCACCTTATATAAATTTGTTCCTTCCCCTTTTCCCCCCTCCCTTTCTCTCCCCCCTCTCTTTCCTGTTTCCCCCTCTTATACCTGGGACAGGTACCCCCCATTCCACTGTTCCAAGCCTCCCCTGGAGCTCTTCCGCCACCGATGACGGTAAGAGCAGCGGAGGGTTTGCCTGGCTGGGCCACCGCAACACAACCCTAAGTAGTTCCTAGCAGCTAGTAGTTGTAAAAGCAGTCGATCGCAGGATTCGATCATGTAACACACAGCACACGACTACGTGCCGCACGTAAGCACATGGAAAGGGGTATATGCATACATGCATACATACATACATGCATACATGCATGCATGCATACATGCATACATGCATGCACACATGCATACATGCATGCATGCATGCATACATACATACATGCATACGTACATACATACATACATACATACATACATACATACATACATACATACATACATACATACATACATACACACACAACTATTCAATCAGGTGAGCCTCAGCTGGCAGGTCAGGTCAGGTCAGGCTAGGCCCGGGGATGGGCCCGGGGATGGGCCCGGGGATGGGCCCGGGGGCAGATAAGGGCAGGTAGGGTCCAACCGGGGCGAAAGGGGCAACAGGGGGGTCCGGGGCCCTCTCTCTTACCCCCCCCACTCCGAGGAGCTCTAGACCACCCCCCGTGAAGCCAAATACCACTTCTTCTTGGCCTTGGGTGTTCGGGAGAGCGCGCCCCGCCTGCCCGCACTGTAAAGGCAAAGCTGCTTTTCTGTCTGTCTGTCTGCCTGTCTGCCTGCCTAACCCTTAGTTTAGCTTCAGATACTGCCGCCCTGCCGAAGGAGCACATATATACAGGCACACATTTGACGCCAGTCTATACACACATACATACATGCACACATACACGCACTTACATACACACGAACGCATAAATCATTATCATCATCCCATCATCATCATCCCATCATCATCATCCTATCATTCCCCCCATCATCTCCCGTACTCGCTACCCCCCGGACGAACATACCCCCCCACACATACCCCCCCCACACACACGTCTAGGTGACGGCGGAGGAGGACAGCTCCTCCCCGACCTCCCGCTGGGGGAGGCCCTCCGCTCCGCTCCGCCGTACATGCTGTCGGGTTCAGCCACGGCGCCACCCAGCCCGGGATATGGACAGATCCCCCTCACGCAACTCCAGCTGCAACAGCTGCAACAGCTGTCGTACTCGCAGCAGCAGCAGCAGCAGCAGCTTCAGTTGCCCAACAACCATCCTGATGGGTGAGTGCGGGAGAGACTTGGATGCGGGAGTTTCCGGAGTCACACGAAGTTGATATTGTCTTGGTGCTTCCGTTGCTATTAATCTCGCTGCTGCTGCTGCTGCTGCTGCTGCTGCTGTGTTGTCGTTGTTGTTGTTGTTGGTGGTGGTGGTGGTGGTGGTGGTGGTGACGCGACTGAATGAATTGTTTCTTCGGCCGTTGTTGCATGTGGGAATTTTTGGTATTTTATTTTATTGCGACATAAAATACTGCCGTACATTTGTACATCCTGCAGCGCCCACCGGTTTGCTCGGGATCGCATGCAAGCCTTCGGGTCCGTCGGCTCCGTCGCCGTCACCGGCGGCAGTGGCGGCGGCGGCGGCGGCGGCGGCGGCGGGGGGGCCCCCGGTGGCCGCGGGCACTTGTTGTCCTCGTCGCCCGCCGCCTTCGCATCCCCCGCGCCGTACTACATGTACATCCCTGCCGCCGCCGCCGCTGCTGCTGCCGCTGCGTCGCCACCTTCGCCGCCAGCGGCGGCTGCAGCACCGCTGGCACCAGCGAGGCCGCCCCGCTTCCCTCACACCCGACCAAGTCAGGAGGAAGAATTTCGCCGCGGAGCAACGGGCGGAGACGGTAACGGGCTGGCCGCCGGTCGGCGGCGGCGCCGCCGCCGCCACCGCCGCCGTCGGGGCAGGAATTTTCCCTCAGTCGTCGTACTCGTCTGCAACCAGCGGTGGCGGTATCAGGCCTGGGTCACCGCCACCTCCTAGCCGCATGATCACCCATGATGTGTCTGTTACGTAAGTCCCATTTTACTCATTTTACGTACCTGCTTTTCGGGGGGGTGTGGGGGGGGGAAATAGGGGGACAAGGGATTAGGGGGATAGGGAGGAGAGAAACGGGAATATGTACAGGCAGGGGGTTAGCGGCCCACTACCCCACTACCAGTGTGAGGATGGGGAGGGCAGCAGGGGCGGACACCGGAGGTAAGGGTAGTGGGAGATGAAAGAATCTTTCGTCCTTGAGCAGCCTTTTTTAATTATTGGAATAATAATAATAATAATAATAATAAATATATGATAATAATACACGGCATTTAAGGCATTTATTGTTCACTATTATAAAAACCCAACGGTTTTACGACTAAAAATATACGACGAAACAAGACATGTCCGACTTTTTTTTATTTTTTGCTGTACGGCCATTTATATTCTTCAACCGGTGCTGAATATCATCATCGATGTGGTGTGCCGGGAAAAATGAAAACACTGCACCCGTCCATTCACCGAATTAGTATATAATTACACGCAATGATTGTTATTTTTTGCTTATAATTCCTGCAGCCACCCGGCTACGTCCACAGCGACATCCACAGCTACATCCACCACGTACAACAACACGGGAGAGCGTCGGCGGCTGTTCCTCGGTGCATCGCAGGAGCTCCTTCGCGGTGCATTGCTCTCGCCGACCTCGTCGACGCCGGCGGCGGCAATGGCTGCCGCCAGCGGCGGCGGCGGCGGCGGCATGTGCGCCGATGGCTATGCTGCCGTCTGCGGCGGCGGCGGCGGCGGCGGCGGAGTCGGCTGCTCCAGGGGGATTTCATTGCGCAGCTGGGCACAGCCGTCTTGGTTGTCGATGCCCGGGTCACCCGCCGCCAGCGCGACGGCGCCGCTGACGCTGGGCAGTCCCGTCGGCGGCAGCGGCGGTGGCGGCGGCGGCGACGGCTGCGGGGAGCACCGAATGAGCATGGGGCGGTCGCATAGGACGTCAGGTAGGTGTGTTTTGATTCGGTTGGATTCAGTTACGTTCCGTTAGATTAAGTCGGTTGGCCCACCCCCGGGGTTGGGGGGAT